TTTTTTTTTTTTATTCCCCTATCATTCTGCTCACCCTGTGTTGTGGCAAAATAAACTTCTTCATCTAGTGTTGTTTGTCACAGTCCCAGCTGTATTCATTAAACTTTTTTTTTATTATCCCTCTACCATACCATAGCATATCCATACCTAGGGAAACAGAATGTCATAAAACTGTCTAAACACTGCTTGCTCTTGGAAAAATGACTTTAGCTGCATTTGTTTTATAGGAATTGCTATGGCTGTCAGAGGACTGGTAATTACAAAAAACAAAAGAAAGCTAAAAAAAAAAAAGACTTATGCTATTTATTTCCCAATGAATAAATGTGGCCTAATTAAAACTTTTATTTTTATACAATTTTTTTGTTTAATGTACTGCATTATGCTGATTTTTATTTTATTTTATTTTTTTAATTTTATGGTGCTCCTGTTTTTCCTTCAGGCCTGGATACACTGAGAAGCTAAAACAAAAGCACTGAAGATATTTTTTTTTCTTTGCCTTCGAATCAGCTCATTAATTATTTATATTAGGAGCAGAAATCACATCACGAAGCTGTAGAAGAGAAAGCAGTCACTCTAAAACTGGAATTTCCTATTTCTAAACGAATAACATGTCAATGTAGTTGATATTTTCAACTGTGCTCAGCATCTTACATTAGCATTTAGCATAGCTGAAACGGCTGACATTCCTAAACAACTGCTTCTTTGTATATTCTTTTTGGCAAATCTAGATCATGTTCTTTGAAATTTTCCTAATCCTTCCTAATCTTTCCTCCATCAGCCACAACTTCCACTCTGAAGATTGTTGTTTGCTAGGCTGTAGCGCCTAGCTAAAAATTCAGATTTTTGTGTGTGTTTCCAACCCACCACTCGCTGATTTACACCATACCAAGATTAAAATGATCACCAGCCAATTTCTTGGTGGATCTCTTGTCCGTAGCAGAGATAACAATATAATGTGTGGAGGACGCTGTATGAAAGCTGTAAACATAAAGGCCAGTCAGGTTATTAAGATGGTTGTACGCATTACTGAGATGCACAAACATAACTGCATTTGCCAAATCTTGAATTGTAAAGGAAGCATTGCACATATTTATGGTGCGAACAGTGATTTGCAATGCTAAATTCATTTTGATTAATGCAGTTATCGTTTTCTCACAGGCTAAATCTGTTCTAACCCTTGGTTTGTCAGCAGAGTCCCTAATTCCCTTAATGTACTTATGCCAAAATACTCTCATATCTGTTCTCTTTTCTCCTGCTAATATGCATTTTGGGAGTAGTCATACTTTTTACCAGACCTTAGTAATACTCCTTTAACAGCACTTTTCTTTCTACTGTAAACTCCCAGTGTCTGTGTACATGCCGCACATCATTAGCCGCTCTCTCCCATGATGCTTTCAGAGCGTTCTTATTAAATCTTTGCTATATGATGAATCATCTCATCTAGCCAAATTTAGATTCCCACCATTCGGGAGAATCTTACCCTGACATTCCTCTGGCAGTTCTGGGGGATCCAAAAGAAAAAAGAAAGAAAGAAAGAAAGCAGAACAAAGAAAAAAGAAGAAGAAGAAAACCACTAGAATGGAATTTGAAGGAAGAAGCGGCGCATCAGACTGCAGGGCTTATTCCTTATTGAATGTGACCTCGTTTTTTTTTTTTTTTTTTTTTTTTTTTCCAAACAGTGAACACCCATCAGCTTCTTCAGCGCGTCTGCAGCGTTACAGCTTTAGCAGGATAATAGAGACAGATTGCTGAAGCGATGCAGAGCCGAGTCTGAATGGGAGATGTGCTGAAACTGGGCAAACTGGGTTTTAGCTCCAAACCGGATGGGAGAGTCCAGCTGTGTGGGCGATGTCTTACAAGCAGGGCGGATTTAAGAACACGGCAAAATCCAGCTCATTTCTAGAAAATTAGGAGATTTGCAAGCAAAGCAAGGCTGTTAATATTCACGAGGCTGCAGCTTACCAAGACACACAGCTCGTTTTCTGCAAGAACAAATCATGCCGTTGAAGTATAAATTATTTAACAAGAGCTCTTTGGCACCGGGCCTAAAAGAGGCTGTTCATTGACTTTAGTTTGATGAAAACTGCAACATTTGTTGCTCAGAAAGTTAGGTTGAAGAATACTGCAGGGGTTACAGAACAAACAGTGAGAAACGGACATTTTTGCAGACTTTCCCAGCAGCCCAGTCTCACCACGGCCTGCGAGTTAGCAGTAAACTACATGTATCTCTCAAAATCAAGCAACGAAAATACAAGCAAGTCTATTTGTCTTTCCGTAATGTTATGTTGCTCTGCTATGACAGAGCCTGTGTAAAATAAAAAAATAAAAATAAAAAAAATGGGAAGCAAAAATGTAGGTAAACCTGGGATTCCAAATACCCAAGTCAAAAATATCGTCTTCGTTCTGCATCCCTACAGTAATGCTTAGTCCGATATTTTCACTTGCTTTACTTTTGATGGATGTTAGCGAAGAACAACGCCGTTAATTAAGAAAGATCAATGTTCAAACTGCTCAGGCGCTAACTGACCACCACACGTCTCCAGTGAATGGCGACACATTCTGCTTTACAAAGGGAGGTTCTGTGATGTATTGATCGTAGGTAGCAGAGAAACAAAATGCTTTTTGTCACCATCAACAAGCTTCCTGCAAATTCTCACTGGACATTTGACTACATTTTCATTAGGGTATCATTCACTAGGGAGAGCTCTCTGAAAGCTTAATATTGGCATCAGAACAAGCTTTTATGCATACTTTGAATCATTGCTCCATTCAAATGACCAATTTTGCGCCACTTTCAGCCATCTGACCCACATATTTGCACTTGGATAGAAGTATGTTCAAGAACAACACAGGAACAACCTGGGTCAGGTGTTTGGGATCGCCATGAGCGGAGATAACGTGCCGGTGTCAAGATAAAATAAGCACTGTGAAGTCGCCACATCATGCTGTGTGTCTGTTTTGGTGTCAGTCATAATAGTTTGCACTTTACACAACCTGACTGGAATTAATAACCTCTGTAGCCTGAACTCCACCTCAAGTCAAGGGTCAGATGCTTGAAACTTGGTAAACTTTATTGTTCTTACAGGACAACTGACCCAAATGGATATTAAAACTAGTTGTGGATTGGACAGAACAGAATAACGTGTGGCTTGTAGGATGATCCAACTCTGAACCGTGTTGAAAATACCTGGTTTATGGTTAAGTCAAAAAAGTTAAATAAATTCTACCAGTATATCCAACAAGATATATTGGTATCACTCAGTACATTACTAAATATATACATTTAAAACTCTAGAGACTATGTATGAATTATAAAGTCTGATGGCTGTAAAAAGTCACAAGCCTTCTCTGTAACTTGCTAATTAAACCGAATATTAGTGCATATAAGAGTCTACAGTTTGTTGCAGTTCTGCCATTGCGAAATTTCACGCAAAATCAACCAATAAACATACGTTTATTGCAAATTTTCCACAGAAATGGTCTAAAACATTGGGTTTACGTGACTGCTAACTCCCACCTGCAGATGGCAGTATTTCTTACTTCTTACTATTCCGCTGCCTCTGCCTTACTTACTGTCAAGTTAAAGTCCTTCTTGATCGACATGGCGGGTAACAAAAAGTCACTTTGACTGTCGTACATCAGTGTAAATGAAACAATCGCAAAATCCTGGATGGAAGGTACAAATATTTCTGTTTGTGTAAATTTGACCTAGTTTGGGTGAATGAAAAAAAAAAAAAAAACTAAACTAAATAAGTCCAGATTTCTCCGCTAGATTCTTTACTGTTGAGTTCTTTAATGCGCAGCTCAAATGAGCTAAAAGCAAAACCTTTTGACGTTTACGCCGTCGACGTTGCGTCGCGGCTTCTTCTGCCCAGCCTGGACTCGTCTGCTCGCATAAACTCAGGGGGAGGGCAGGAAACCGCTTCTTGTGGGAGCCTGGTGAAGGTTTTGTTAAGGATCTGAGGCAGGCTCTTAAGTGTGGCATGTTTTAGTGAAACACTGGGAGTGGTGCTCCCAAGTGAATTGTCACTGGTTACACCGCAAATACATGCGATTTTTGTTCGCCAGAGGAGAAATCTGTGCACAGTAAATTTCTAGCTGCGAGGACATGGCGAGGGATTCCAAACTCTTGCCTGCATCTTAATCAAAAACAGTCAGCATCTGTTTTGGTTCATGACTCTTCTGTCCTGTAAGAAAGAAGAAGAAGAAGAAGAATCCTTGTTTCGGCCATGTTGACTCCACATTTGATTGATGTGGAATGACATCACTGGGTTTGGAAGTGTGATTAAGACATGTTTTGGATAGATGCAGAACAGCGTTTTAGTACCATGAGCATTCTTGTGAGAAACATGTGGCTAACACACCCAGCTCCCCATGTAGCCTAGGGATCCTTCCGAGCCTCTGTTTTTCTCTCTTGTTCCCTCTCCCTTGCTCTGTTTTTTTCTATCAATCTCGCCTGCTCTGTCACTGTCTGACTTTTTTCTTTTCTCTTCTTTTTCAAAATTCCCCTGCCTTCTGCTGCCCTGGATCAGCTGTTTGAGTCTCCAGATTTCCTGTTGTGCACATGCGAAAGCCGAACCGGCCGTCTTCACGACGGACTCGGAGGCAGAATCCCTCACGTCTCATGCAGATCAGGGCAGAGCTCACATAGTTAGACTCTGTCAAGATGCCCTGCATGTGTAGACGTCACTCTACATTGTCTTGTAACTCCGCACTGCTTGTTTTAAAGCTTTTCCTATCACGACCCGATGCACAACTTGGAGCCGGCGCCACGTTCCTCACGGTTTAGTCACCCTCAGCTTGACCTAGTTTCAGTTCTGCCTGTTCTGGAGCAGCACTGTGTCACATGTTCATACACAGATGATTTCATCCCACTCTCCTCTCCCTAAAAAGAAAAGAGAGAAAAAAAAACAGCAAAAGTAAACAATGTTTCTGTATCACGTTTGTTAGTTAAAGCACATGTGTGACCCTCCTGACTTTCTGTTTCTTGTGGTTTCCAGGGAGACATCCAGCAGCTAATGATTGTAGCAGACCACCGGGCTGCCTATGACTACTGTGAGCACTACAGCCCCGATTGTGAAGTGCCAGTGCCCGACCGGCCGCAGAACCAGGACCCCAACACGGAGGACGATGTGAGTTCGGTCTCCCCTCTTCACCTATTCAGTGTTTATTGTTTTGTTTTTTTTCTCCCCCAAACCTGTAATTGTCTCTAATCCTCTGCTTAAAATGATGATTGGTTCTTGCAAAAGAGCCCCTTGGCCCGCGCTCGAGAACTTTTAACGCTGCCAGAGCAAAATGCTGAGGGAGAGCAACAGAGTTATCAGGCTGCACAGTTAGTCAATACAGCTCAGAAATGATGATGTGCTGCTTGCTTTCCTGAACTGTAGGCTGAGTGGCATTACACTGTGTGCATGCTAATTGCAGAATAGCCAAAGAAACGTTCCAGCAAGAACTCAAGGCTTTTGGCTCCTGATCCTCAAAGCTGCACCAAATTTAATCAGAGCACAGACAGCAGCAGGAAACTTGGCATAGCTTCATAAAGTGAGAAAGACCCTGTCCACACTAACGGGAGGATATTCAGCTCTGTTTGTCTAATACAGCAACAGTTAACAACAAAGCAGTTTACAAGACAAACAGATGCAATTTATATTCAGCTATAAAAAAATATGGTATTTAGTCAAACCAAGCAGATTCATAAAAGTATGACAGTACAGTCATAGCATTCAGTAATCATTGTGATCGTTGTAATAAGATAGTACTGTCAAATTTATTCCCTGTACACACGGGAAGGTCTTTTTCTAAATGAATTGTCGGTTTCCAAAACGTTGTTTTCAGAAATATTTTCTGTTCACACGGAAACACAGAAAACAGCCCAAAACTTTATTTTTCCCCCTCCCCCCAGACCTGTAAGTAACACGGAGTATTAGGACTTGCACATAAAGCTTCCCACACACAGTTAGTCATAAACAAAACAAGAAAATGTGAATGATGCTAGGAGAGTCTTTTGTATAACATTTTTGCAGCTGAAGCAAAATCAAGAACATCTAAGCTGTGTTCACTGTTGCTACGTCTGAAGCATTTGGGGTTATAGGTCAGGTTAGAGGTACTAACATGTAGGCGTTTTCCCAAAAGATTGTTTCAAGTCTGGAAAACAAAACAAAATGTTTAGGGTCCCATGAAACCTTGTTTCTGTGTGAACTCAGGGCACAAACAGATAAGTACTTTCTGGTTTAATAAAAAAAAAAAAAAAAACTTTCCCCTGTGGACGGTGACTTATAGTTCTGGTTAGTTCTGCTCTACTGATTGCATTTGTTAAAAAAAAAAAAAAAAAAATGAGACCACTGCAAAACTTTTTTTTTTAATTAATAAATCTGTGTTAAGATAAATATAAACCACCGAGCATATTACTCCGAAGTTCCTCATAAAAATGTTGCCATTTCATGTATTTTTTGTGCAGGAAATGAAAAATTGTTTTAAAAAAATGATTGTGTTTCAGGCCATACATAAATGATTAAACATGTCTGAACATAAGGACAGAATAGAAATCGTTATGTGTGCTCTGTGGGGTAACCACAGTTTGCCATGAAATGCTTTCCACCAGTCATGTGTGTTGGGTTCAAGCGATTACCTGACCAGCCCGTCATTAAATAGAAGGATGTGCAACGTCTTGATTGGAATGGCTGTTATATGAGTAGGCATGCTCATTTCAGAAAAAAATAAAATAAATAAATGGTGGCCACTTTACTTTTTTCCATGTCTGTAGAGTCAATTCAACTCAGATCCGCCAAATTATTAAGACAGATTCAGATTCAGTTGCATATTATTCCAATTAGATCATGGTTATGATGTGGTGCGGTCTCATTTGGTTGTAAAGCCTGATCAGATGCACCAAGTCACTTATTTTTCAGCATGTAAAAAGCATTTCACAATGAGAGTAAGACGTTTTTTAAATTATTGAATATGATGTGCTTTCCGTGCTAGAAATAAAAACATTAACAAAGCTGTTTCCATCAAACTTCAAATCTGAGAGCATATCTGAGAGCAAAAACGTAAACTAATTCAAAGAAACTGTTTTGGCTTCATTTTTGTAATTTCTAGCTTAGCACTGCCTTAGCCATGTTCAGGATCTATTTTCGAGTTTGGATGTTGTTATTGTCAGATTGTCACCTTCATACTAAAAACGACAATACTTTCCACAGGAATCCCAAAAAGTAGGGGTGTTTTTTTTCTTTTTTCCCCCATCAACAGAGGGAAAAGTGTCAATTTAAAAAACATCCTGCGTAATGAATCTGCAAGATAAATCATTTTCAGTTTATAGCAGGAATGTTTAGTCTGCGTCTGGAGAAATACTTTTTCCATTGATGACGCCGTTTATATATATTTGAATGGAAAAGAATCCATCTTATTTCACAATGGCCCCGCTGATGTTAGGCAAATTAATGACAGTCCTTCTTTCATATGATTAACACTTCCTTCAGCTTGTCCAAATGGATGGAAAACCCCAGGATTTCTCTGCCTTTTGGACATACATTAACTTCTTTCATTTCCTCAGAATAACTGGAAGCACATGTGACAGAAAAACAGGAACGTATGCTGAGTTAGTAAAGAAAAGGGACCTTGAAAGGCAGGTCTGTCAGGGCATGCTTTCTCTCTCTCTTTTTTTTTTAACTGATGCTGTGGATTTTTATCACTGTGCAGTGTGACATTTTTATGCTTTAGAAAAGAGGCTATTAGATTCTTTATTGACTCTCAGAATATGCTCAATTTAATTTAGTTTATTCCATAAAGTGCCAAGTCCCAACAAATGTCACATCCCTGCACTTTATAGAAGCAACGGGTCCAATTCATATCAAGCTAAAATGAATCCAAGTTGATCCAAATTCAGGTCTCAGTCAAATTTATTCAATCCAGTCACACAGTAAGACTTGAATCCAACTTTCCGTAGCTTTATTGTCTCTGGTTTTTTGTGACTTTTAAATCTTTTTAAAAGTTAAGTGTGAAAATGAGTTGGATACTTCTTTCAGTCAGCTGACTGGGAGGGCAAAGCAACAAGAGTGGGAGGGGAACGTTGTTCAAAGAGTGATCGACAGCACTAAAACCCTCCTCTCGGCTCTGATTGGTTGTTTCTGACTGAGTGGCGTATTTCTGCAGTACTGGGAGAAGGCGGAGGAGCTCAAATTTTTCTCACAGATTATCTGTCTTATACCATCATGGCATAATGATAATTTTAACAAATATTTAAAATGTCTAAAGCACTCCAGTTTTAAACAGCGTGGATAGTTTTTACAACCTTCGTATACCTTTAAATTTATTATCGACAGCAGGCTCATGCCTTGTAATAATCTCATTCATCCTGCTGATTTCGATGTAAAATTGGAAATCTGGCAACTCCGAAGGAACATTTTGAAGATTTTATTTGCTAAGCCGACATTTGCTCCCACCAGCAAGCAACCCAAGTGCAGCTCTGTGAACATATGGCTGCTTCATACACTTCTCGGAGGTAGTTCCCATTGATTTTTACATTTGACTGTAAATAATGTTGGACATCTCAGAACCCCAGCAACTGGTTAATGTTCTTCTTCTTCCATTTATTCTCCTAAACCTATAATTGTCTCCTGTGCTCAGTTCAAATCATGATTGGTTCCTGTACTTTGAGGAGGCTCTTGGCCCGTGCTCGAGCACTGCAGTCTGCCAGGAGAAAACGCTGAGTGAGAACAACAGGGTTATCAGGCTGTGCGGTTCGTCGATAAAGTTCAGAAATGATGCGGTGCCTGCCTGCCTCTGCCTGCTCTCCCTGCGCTACAGGCTGAGAGGCATCGCGCTGAGTGCATGCTAAACAAAGGAGTCAAAGAAGTGTCAAAACACAGATTGGAAGTTCTGCTCTTGACCCGTTACATACCCTCAGGGTGTGCAAAATTTAATCGTTTTTCCACCTCCCTGCAAACAAACGACAGACTCATTAGGCAAACCAAAGACGTAATTAGTCACCGAGCAAGTTGCAAGTTTCGACAGAGTGATGCAGCGGGACGTGTCTGCGAGTGGAAAGCATTTCTGCTGGGTTGCTGATCGATGGCCAGCCAGCCAGGAGGCAACGGAGTTGTAGATCATGTTTGAAAATCAGATTGTTAATCATTGATTGTTATCCTCTCCCTCCAAGTCATTCTTTCACTCAACACCGGTGGAATGTACTTCTCGTTCAGGTCGCAGAGGAGGACAACTACTACTATGAATATCCCTATTATGATGACCTTGAAGGCAAGCCATTCGATTCAACTTCCGAAACAGAGACGACCATTAAAGAAGTCAAGGTAATCCACTTAGGAATTTCATTGGACCGCAACTAGGAGCTTGTATTCACGCCTCAAACGGTAACCCTTAACGGCTGCGTAACGACACCGAATTGCAGGGGACGGACGGAGGCAGTGTGGTGTCCACAGTGGAGAAAGTCGTCAGGGGCGGTTCGGGCTCCACGTCCGTTTCCACCAGCTCGACTTCCTCCAGCTCATCATCCAGCAGCTCATCGGCCGGCGCCGGAGGGGAAGACGCCTACGGGGACGTGAACAACGCTTACGACTACGATGGCTACGGCGATACCAACTACTACTACGGCGAGTCCACCGCCACGCCTGACGGCGACACGTCTCAGCGCGTCACCGTCACCAGCATCGGCACCGGCAGTGAATTGGACCTCGGAGCAGTCGGAAGGATCGATCTGGAAGGTGGGGCCGGAGTGGACAGGAAGGTGATCACCAGTGGAGGTGGAACTACAATAACAGTCACCCGCAATGTGTCGGTAAGTTGACCGCAAAGCAAAATCAAATTGGATGTTTTTAAAAAAATATCTTTGTCATGTGTACACATTGTGCCTTGATAACATATTCAAACTGCTTGATGGGTTTTTTGTGTTTTTTTTGTGTTTTTTCCATTTAAAACCACAGAACTCAATGTGTTTTCCTAGAATTTTAGTTAACAGACCAACACAAAATACTTGTTAATCAGAAGTGGTTCAGCTACAGCACATTAATAGAGTAAAACTAATGTGTTTTAATTGTGATCCAGAAATGATGCAGTCATATTTGCTCTGATAACTGAGAGCTCTCTCGGGTATTGTCAGGTTGTAGTTTTTATCTTAAATAATGACTGGAAAGTCAGCGAATGGCTAATATGGTACCTTTGTCTAAACCTAGCTTTAATGTGAAGGCCTCAGAGGTTCATTAAAGAATATTAGTGAACAAGCATCACCAGGAAAACCAAGGACCACAGCAAATAGGTTGAGGGATAAAGCTGAGGAGAACTTTGAGGCAGAATAAGGATACAAATCAGTATCCTTACTGTTGAATTCACCATCTGAAATGAAAAAGAATATGGATTAAAGGCCAAAACGGCATCATTCCAGGAATCAGCTGAGAACAACAGGCAGCAATTTCATTCTATAGGCTTGCAAAACAATTAAAGACCTTTCATTGCAGTATTTGCATTCTAATTGGATATTACACTCGTTTTTTCCATGCAATCTCCGTTTGAAGTTACATAGTGATAAAATTAAGAGGTATGCTAATACCTTTGCATTGCGCTGTCTACCACATCCTAATGACTGCAACTGTGTTTTAACAGGGCGGAACATCCTACAGCGACTACGGCAATGGCTACGACTACGGCGTCGACAGCTACTACACAGAGGGAGACGTCGGAGGCAGCAGCAGTACAGTTGTCATCGGTGGTGGAGGAGGAAGCAGCAGCAGTAGCACAGTTCTGGGTGGAGGCAGCCATGGCAGCAGCAGTACAGTTGTAGTCGGTGGTGGTGGAGGCAGCAGCAGTACAGTTGTAGTCGGTGGTGGTGGAGGAGGCAGCAGCAGCAGCTCTACAATCACCATTGGGAGCGGGTCAGCTGGAGGAGGATCCGTGTCTGTCAGTGGCGGTTCCGTATCCGTGGGAGGATCTTCTACCTCCGGCGGAGGCTCGGCATCTGCCGGCGCCGGAACTGGCGGGGCCGCTGGGACTGACCTGACCATCGACGGAGTCGATGACTACACGGATCTTGACAAGTTCAAAGAGGAGGACATCGTCGACTACGGAGATTTAGACAACTACGACGTCTATGGAGACTACACTGACAAAACACTGCCTGCAGAGACCACCGACTACTTCGGCCAGGTGAAGAACAGTCCAAAGATATGACTCCGCAACTATGATTTCAGACGATGAGGAGGACGTCTTGATAAAACTTCCATGTGTGTGTGTGTGTGTGTGTGTGTGTGTGTGCAGGTTGACGGAGCTCGTGGTGAGAAAGGACAGAAGGGAGAACCTGCTGTTATTGAGCCTGTGAGTATCTGTGTTTTAGCAACATACTAGAGCAGCAGATGTAAGGTGCATGTGCACACAGTTGGAAGACGCACTCACATATGTGTGAGCCACATGTAAACACGATCCGGCCCTCGCTTCGGAAAACAAATGCTCAAGCCAAACGTATTTACCGTGGACAACTAAATCCTCCTTGCCGAATCCTCGTAGCAAGGCCTCACTCATGGGTTCCCAGCATAAACATTTGGAGAAGGGCCATGCAGGGATTGTCAATAATCTCTAAACACAGGGTGAGTGGAGTGGAAACCAAGAGAAGTGAAGGGATGGGGAAAAGAAGGATCGCAAGAGGGAACTACTAAACATGATCCTCTGGGTTCTCTCTGACTTTAAATCAGACTCTGACACACAAGTATCTGTAACGATGACTCATTTTGTAAGTTTGGAAATGTATACACAGACAGAATTAATATGTCTAATGGACCTACAGCTGTTTCGCTTCAAACAAATGCCACAGAGCTGCGCTTAACAAACACATGCCCAAGCGCAAGTGTTTATAAGTGGAAGTGAAAAAAAAAAAAAAAGTGTGGGAGCTCTTTTCTTTGGAGTACCGCTTCAGGACCTGTGAAGCGCGACGAAAAACGGAAAATGATGTTTGCTCTCCAAAGATTTTTGCAAACAAATGTGCAACCACCCTGAAGACGCCGTCTGCAGAGTGAATGACGGCGGCTTGGCTGCATGGTGCTGTGGGAATGCTTAGAATTGATGGGGGAAGTGAATGGAGCTAAGTACGGGACAAGCCAATAGATTCCTAAGCCTTCCTCTCAGGAGCATCAGGCCTCGCTCATGGCTGCTTGACACAAATATTTGAAGAAGGGCCATGCAGGAATTACCAGTATTCCCTACACACACAAATCTCAAGGTTTGAGTATTGTTCATAGAAATGCTACAAGAACACAGTCAGTGTGCTTTCTCTGTTTTACTCTTGCAGTTCTAAGCACAAGGTAATGATTACGACGCACAAGTGTAACATAAAAGGATATCAATTCATTCAAACTACATGACTATTTACACATATGTATAGTAGAATATTACATGTTGAAGGAGAATTTAGCTTGTGTTTTTCCCCATCAGATTCACATATTAAAGGATCACCTAAGCTGACTAATTTTAAACAAGCGGTTGAAATGGCTTTACTCTGCTGTCATAATCTTCTTCATTTCTTTGTGTCGGATGTAACAGAGTCTTCCTCACTGCTAGCCAAAATTATATATTCCTCTCATTTTTTCAGTATTTTTAAGGACTGCCTCCAATATTTGTTGAACTTACACTAAGTGAACACTGTCCTGCAGCAAAGTGTAGGGCTTCCTGAGTTTCTTAGCACACGTTTTTTTGATGTGTCGACGGACACAGAGAATAGTGATGTAGGAGCGGGCTCCGGGCCAGTTCAACCCTTCACTAAACAGGAAGCTCATTTTTTAACCATGTTGCAGTTTGGTGCCTCCGTGCTTTCGCTTCGTGCCATTCGTAAAAACATTTTGTACCCATGTAGCAAATTTGTTACTTACTGTTTTATTTCTTTTGGTAGTTGAGTATTTTCATTTTGTACCTTTTGTGGCAAAATCTAGTGTTTCCTACCAACCATGAGTCAATTTGTACCTGCCTTGGAGGTGTATTTTGCCCATTGCCCCCATAATTAATGAAAATACTTAAATGCAGACAGAAATAAGCATATGTGCAATGGCTGAAATACATGGGTACAAAATATTAGGGGGAAGGGACAATTTAGACCCCAAAGTTACAAAACGGGGGTCTAAAAACATCTAAATAACCTCTCACTGACTCCGTGTTTTATATAACCGCATTTACTTGCCGCACTTTCTATCATTTCCAAAGACCAAAACAGTTAGTTAAACAACCAAAACATTGTAGATAAAAGGTGAAGAGGTGGAAACACCCACACCCTTAGCAGTGCCCTGTTATTTTCATTGGCCCACTAATCCTGTTCTGAATGATAGAGGACCTCATGAGAAAAATTACAAGACAGCTAAAGCTTGACATCAGACAATGTTTAATAGCCCCTTCTGGTGATGTGTTAAGAGATGAAGTGACGAAAAATGTTGGAAGGTTTTAATTTTCACAACAGTGCTTCAGCAGTCCACCCCGGTTTTCACATCGAAACGTGGCCAGCGCGTCACAGAACGTTAATTACTGCTAAATTGTTGTCAGTTTTCGGTGAGAAAGTTCGCACTACGTCTGGAGGAATATCTCTCCATACGTCGACGATACCGTTCCATTTGTTTCTAAGCTGAGACACAGGGACCTGAGAACCGATTCAAATCTGTGGTCATTTTCCGGTTGAAACTAATGAATTCCTCCCTGACACTCAACACCTTACGTTAGCTTCCATTTATAGAGGAAAACATCTGGATGTCTTTGCTTTTGATTGCATTAAATCACCCGTTTATTTCACACCTACTTAATTGGAAGCACATTTGATGGATGGACAGGAACCAAACGTTGATAGGCAGGTTTGCCAGAGGCATGTTTTTGTTGATGCCAAACTGCTTCTACTAAAGCAGTCCACGCTCGTGGATGTGCAGTGGGATGTTGACCTGTGCAGTATCTAATAATATCTCTGCTTGCATGTTTCAGGGTATGCTAATGGAGGGTCCGCCTGGGCCTGAGGGGCCAACAGTAAGTCATTTTTTTGGTCAAGTTAAGTATTTTCTTCCTCAGGGTCAAAAATCCCACTTTTCGTCTTGTGTATGTTCTAGTCTTTTTCTTCTATCGATACTGAAGCTTTATGTCACTTGTCGATTGTAGGATAAATGAAAATGAAAGCTAAGATTGGTCAGTAAGACCAGCATTCAAATGGAAAAGCGTTTTTTTTTCTCAAAGGATTTGCACTCTGGCAAATGTTTTAAGAACATTTGGAGGAGCCAGATGCTGCTGACACCCAGCAGATGGTGTCCTCCACAGGCCAGCGAGCCTCACTGACATGATGAGCTATAGTGTAAGCAAATAAAGATGACCAGACAAAAGGATCAACAGCGTATCCCACCTGCTGTGTGGGGCCACTTTGGGATCTCGTGGCGTAGGACGCGAATATGGAAATCGATTGACATTTCTTTTTCTGTTCATAATAGGGTCTCCCTGGACCCACAGGATCTTCTGGCCCACCAGGCAGTCCTGGAGATCCTGGAGAGAGGGTGAGAAAAAAAAAATCACTCGAGATATTTCTTAGAACAACAACAGAAACGCAGCCTGTTTTGGTAGCTCATCATGCACACTATTCTCTTTAAGGGTCCTCCGGGTCGCCCTGGCCTTCCTGGTGCTGATGGTCTGCCAGGACCCCCTGGAACTGTCCTGATGCTGCCTGTAAGTAAACTCTGGTTGTGTGTGTTTTTTTTTAATTATTACTTCAAGGATTGAAACATTTCCTATGGTTTTGTATCACTCTATGGTCACATTTACAGCAGTTTTACTAATAACTCTGACACATGTTTCACAATGTGTTCTTGGAGGAAGGGGATTTCCAATGAATCCAATCGCAAATATGTTAATAGGGATGTGAGGCTTTAGCAGCCTCTTGTGGTGTTAGAGTGGAAGGACCTCCTTGGCCTCCCGACAGCACAGATCTGCATATTAACCCCAAATTTTTGACTCAAAACCTAATCTACCAGGCGTCTCTCCAGGAAGTCATATGGTTTTTGATGGGACAGAAAGCAATATCGCTGACTGACGCTTTTGCAGTCGATCCGACTGCAAGTGTTACGCAACCTTTCCAAATAGCCTCTCTGTTGTCTACCTTCAAGCCTCTTGTTTTTTTGTACTTGGAAGATGCTGTCCAGCCTGATTGCTTGTACAGATGTGAAGCCTTGCGGCTTTGTTGATTCGCGGATCTCTTCTGGCGGAGCCGTGTGGCAAACTCGGTCTGGACAGTGACTCAAGCAGTTCTGGCGTATCCTGGCTGGCAAACACTGCCGTTCTGAAATCCAGTCCCACAGACCTAATGAGAAACATGCATCTTTGTTTTGCCATTCTTTCGAGCTGTGAGGACTCTTTTCGGTTCCTTTGTTTGACGCCGAGGAACAAGAGAAAATGGATAACAACCGTAATCTGTAGCCGCGCATTGAATTTTCAAGCTACATTCTCGGTCATGCTAATCAATTCTTGGACTGAGCTGAGTTTTCATGAATTGTTGATGGTCTGCATTAGTCACTAAAGAAATCAATGCAGGGCAAATCTTATAAATAATCAAACCAGGAGACAGTTTCACTACAAGTAAAGACCTCGATACAAGCAGCTGTGCAGGAAATTTGACAGATTTCCAGATGTGGTCAGTTACGCTGACGTTCTGTGCTGTGAGCTGCAGCAGGTTTTACTCAAACCTCCAGCTCTGAGTCTGTTGTTTGTATTATTCCTTCCTGGTTACCAGGATTCTGGAACAACTTTTTACTGCTGTAATTTTGTACATCCGTAAGCCGACAATCAGCCTCCTCAGGACTGCATGTGGTCCAATCCAAAGTATCTCATCCAAAAGAAAAGAAAACAACATCACGAGCCGAGCTGCACATCCAGGTTTTCATTTTCACTCGTGCTGTAATGCTGGTGTATGACCACCAGATGGCAGTAGAATTTGACCCTTCTTGGCCAAACGATGCTCTGTTCAGCATCAGTTTATGTCTGCTCTTTAATCTGAAGAACAGTGGAATAAACAAACGCTGAACTCGTCCATTTTTTGTTTTCAAAGTAGTGGATTTTTTTTCATTCTTTTGTGAGCTGCTTTTTTTTTCTTTTTCAAATAATTTAGCAGTTTGTTCTATTCTGCAATAAAAATATGTATGAAACATTCTTTCTACAGTTCAGATTAAGCGCTGGAGGGGACTCTGGGCAGAAGGGACCAGCTGTTTCAGCACAGGAGGCCCAGATGCAAGCCATCATGCAGCAGGCCAGGGTAACAGCTCACAGCTAAACATAATCACGAGCGACAGAGACTCCTGTCAGTTTGTATTTATGACAGTGCATGCATTTGCTCTATAAGTGAGTGCGGACTTATATGTATATACACGTGTATATATACAGTCAAATGTGCAGCCTGAAGCCAACACTCTTATGTTGATCTGTTTGATTTTATTTTCCGTCTTTGTCCAGCTGGCGATGCGCGGTCCGACAGGTCCAATGGGTTTGACTGGCCGACCTGGCCCTCTGGTGTGTACTTTGCATCCACCAATCAGGAAACACCAAGAAAATCTAATGGAGTGTTGCCTGTGCCTTTTAATTGACTGAGTCCTTACATAATATCTCCTTATTTTATCCTTTCTCAGGGTCCACCCGGTGTACCAGGACTGAAGGGAGAATCTGGAGAGGCGGGACCTCAGGTACTAAATGTCACACTTTATCCTCAATCATTTCGAGATGAGCTGTGATTGAGATTACTCTCTCCCTTCTTTTTTTGTAAGGAAAAGAAAAAAAAAGAACAAAAACAAACCAGTATCTGTGATTGACAAATGTTTCGTTTCAGGGGCCGCGTGGACCGTTGGGATCAGCTGGACCCCCTGGAAAGCCTGGCAGACGGGTACACGTTTGAGCAAACTTTCCACAAACTCCAACAAGTTTATTTATATGCCTGCGTTCACATCTCTGAATTAAAAGTGGCTTATATTCCACGCTGCAGCTGTTGAACGATCCTCTGCTTCATCGTCAACCCAGCTAAATACCAATTGTTTATTGCAGGGCCGTTCTGGAGCAGATGGCGCCAGAGGAATGCCAGGACAGACTGGGCCGAAGGTATTTTCACTTCCACAATCGACAAACGTTGATTTAAGCGAATCGCACTTCATAAAGAGCAGATTAAAAACAAGAACTTTGGCGTTTGTACGAGATTTCCCATTTTCCATGTGTTTCACAGGGAGACAGAGGCTTTGACGGCCTAGCTGGACTTCCTGGCGAAAAGGGACACAGAGTAAGAGATTTTATGGGTTTATGAAAGTAATTTCAGCTTTGTTCAGATGTGAGGGAAGGGCAAAATGTAATAATGTCTGTTTTTATAGGGAGAACCAGGCCCCTCAGGACCTCCCGGTGCTCCTGGCGAAGATGGAGAGAGGGTATCTTGGAAGATATGATTTCACAGCTTCTGTCTCATTTTACTGTGCAACGAATCTTAGAGCTGTTGCGATTGCATCCTCTTTCTGCATGCTGAGATCAATCAATAAGTACTTTCTACAGACACCTCTGGATTCGACATCCCTCCCTGCTCTCACTTTCTGCACCTCTTCTACCTCATTACTGACGGTTTACATCACTTGATCTCACCCGATTTCCAATATTTCCCAGCCTCAATGATTCCCATACCCTCACCTTATTCTCCATCATCGTTCCCATGTCTGCGCCGCAGCCTGACACTGACTTTATCTCTTTCGCAGGGGGATGATGGAGAGATCGGACCCAGGGGACTTCCTGGTGAACCAGTGAGTAATTGCGTGTTTTTTTTTTTTCCCACCTCCCTTTCATTCGTGCTCCTAGATGTTGTCCGATGTGTAGGCGGAGGTGGGGTTCGGTTAGCGCTCGAGGCCTGCTGTCATCGTGTAATTGCGTTAGAGGTGTGTGATGATATCATACATCAACCGCGGGGCCGGCTCGCCTCGCTCACGTCGTTAGACGCTGGGATTTTTTTCCCTGCCTCGCACCGCCGCGTTTATCAGGCTTCGCTCGTTCCTCACTGCTGTCTGGAGGTGAGAAAAGCTGGCAGTGCACATCAGGGTTGTTAAAGCCTCCCACTCCCACTCAGGAAGGATGTTCACTACAGAGAGTAGGGGGGAGGAGGGAAGGAGGGAGGCGGGAGAGCACAAGAAAGATGAAAAAAAAATCTGCAGAAAGCTCTTGACATATTGTGTTATGATTCATTCTGGCCACCAGGGTGTGCAGATCTTTTCTGCCAGGACAATCAGTCTGGTTAGGTAAGTGTGAGGCCTATGAGGCTCAGCACAGAGAGAAATAACAATAATATTGAGTCTCTAATAATAATAATAATAATAATAATAATAATAATGGCAATAATAATTCCATTATTGTACGTCAAGAGCACCTTACATACGTTAACAAATCAGAAAATAACACCACCAAATATATTAAAGTGAAGAGAAAATCAAAGCAGCGTTAAAAAGAGAACCGGTTTGACAAATCCGACGCATTTTTAAAGACGAGGGTTCAGTTGACTGAAAGCTGTGAAGTCTGTGGTAGTCAGGCAGGCAGGTGGTAGGCACCATGTAATAAATAGAGCAGGTGGAGCCCAGAGTTAAGTGATGGAGTGATGCTGCGCAGTAGATCAGAGAGATACGGAGCCTCATAGTTCTGGAGACGCTTGAAAGAAGAAAAAAAAAGGACCCTGAAAGCAGCGCTGCAATTTACAGGATGCCAATTAAGTTGTTAGAGGACTGAAGTAATATGTTCAGAGGAAGGAGGTTTTTTTTCTTTCTTTTTTTTTTACCTGTTAAAGTCGGTGCGGCAAACTAGAGAGGACAAAATGACAGCAGTCAGTTCGAAATGTAAGAATGGCATGCCCATGAATAGTAGCATTGTTTATTAGGAAAATTGAAGTATGTGCATTGACTGTTGTATTCTTTAAAGTAGTGTTAAAAAAAGAAAAAAATCACCTAAAACTTTTAGCGTGGTTGAAGGGACATTTTCAAGAATTGTCAACACATAGAATTTACCAGACTTATCAAAAACAAAAGAAACACAAAACAGAAACCCTGTTTTGCCTCCCTGGAAACTAGAAAATTAGTAGAAAATGATTGAATCACCATAAACAGTCAGAAAGAGAAGAGAATGGAGGAGTAGAATCAAGATTGCAGGTGGGCAGATCAGGCTGTCATCAGCGTAACATATAAATAAAAAATGGGACCAAGAATTTGCATAAACTTTGCTGCCAATTCTTTATTTAAAAATCGCTTTAAAACCATTTATGTGAAGCTGATTGTGCTAAGTTTGGTTTCTCTAATATCTGGCTCTTGTTTGGCTTGGCTTCTCTACGGTGGCTTCTTGTAAACTTTTCTAGGACAAACTGTCCTATCTGTCAGTAGTGAAACTTTTCACCGGTATAAATAAAACTAAATTCTAGACGGCATCATGTTGGATTGAAACCGAAACTGTTTCCTTAAAAGAACAAGCTAACCTTAAATAGTGTTATGTATTTACTCAGTTTTGTATGAATTTTTCTATTTCTCTAACTCTTTCTTTAAGTTGCTAACACCAAGCTAGCATTTAGCAACATTAGTTTAATATAACATATAAAATATATCGTGTTTGTGACCTACATACGTCTCCCTATACAATAAATAAACAATTAAATACATAAATTAAAATAAACTGAACTGCACCTAAGAATTTATTATTTTCTTATTTAGCGGGAAACTCAAATTTTGATTTACAGAAGCCGTCAGTGAGACAAGGCTGGAGATGCAAAATTAGGCTTGTGTTTATAGAGAGAGGCGTGTCACTGCCATTTAACAGAAATGTCTTTTCACCTTTCCTAAAAATATGTCCAAGAATTGAAATATTATCCAGAAGTGGGCTGCAGACACAGCCCTGATGAAAACTACACACAACTGGGCAAAACTGGACAAAACACTAAGCACTAATTGTCTGACAGTGAAACCATCTGAACGGGCCAGAGTGAGCTGTCACTTGTAGCTATTGTCTTATGGCTAATAAACAGACCGAATCGAACAAACCGTAATTATTTAGACGTCAGCCATCTTGGAACGGGAATATTACAGCTGTTTCGAGAGGAAAAGAAAATAGGGAAGAAAGACTGACACTGGTTAAATAAGTAGGATTTAACCACCTGAGTCGAAAGCAGGTGGTTAAGCAGGCGCAACATTCACATGGGCATTTTGTGAACGGCGGGTTATTTTTAGACGTATCATTTTGAAACTGGTTTTAATTATTCATCAGACCTCTTGCAGCTGTAATATCACCCTCAATCACATTTCTCCCCTGCTCCCCTCTAGGGACCTCGTGGTTTGCTGGGACCAAAGGGACCTCAGGGACCTCCTGGACCACCTGTACGTATCACCTCTCCTTCTATTATCTTTTCATATCCTCTGTGTCAGAGCAGATTTGGTATTTACACAACAGAATACATTTCTACCATCTCCTGGGCAGCTACAAAGAGAGCAGACAACACCCACAGGAACCCACCAAGCTCAATATATCTCACAAACTGCACAATAAGCAGCACGCTATTGAGTTTAACTTTAATATTTTTTGAAATATTTGTATAGCGGAGACAAGACTTGACTGTAATATTTATACATTTAATTTTGCATGAACATTGGGCATTGGATTTTTGTCTTCTTGTCTTTATTTTTTTTTTTAAAAGCACAGCGCAAAATAGAGACATTTTTCCGAATTTGCCTTCAGCAGTTTAAAAAAAATTAAATGCCGTTAAATGGGTTTTCATTTCAGTGGGTTACAGATTTTCTTCTTTCACGCCTGATTTTCTCTCCCTCATTTGCGTGACAGGGAGTTGCTGGAATGGATGGCCACCCTGGACCCAAAGGAAATATAGTAAGTAAAGATTGAACTGATTAAATTCCTAAATCAGATTAAAAAGATACCTCTATCAGAGTGTTAAGAGGCACCAGCTTAATCACTCCGAGTGTATTTAGGCCTCAAAAAAGGAGCCCTTTCGCACACATGTACGAATACGAACACACACAAGCAGCATCAGAGAATACACTCTTGGCTAGTTGTACATTTCCAGCTCAATTTCTGCCAGCTCCCGGCACCCGTAATGAGAGAATATTTTACCGGAGCGGCCTGCTTGGTCTTTTGGGAGTCTTCCAACAAGGTAGAGATGGAAGATCAACAACTGGCCCAGACTCCTGGACGGAGGCAGCATAATTGATTGCTGGTTACCCTACGGGGGGGAGGGGGGATGGTGTTTTGTGTTTGTGGTTCAGCAGTTTGCGTCATTAGGAAAGTAGGTCTGAGGATGTGCCCCGCATATACCTGCACACTTGTCCTTTTGCATCAAATGCGACTAAATTTCTGAAATCCAGCAACATTAGAATTGGGCAATGCATCACCATTCAGTTGAAGCTGATTTAATTTAGACCTATTTTGTGCAACACTTTTACCCTGTTTTCCTCTTGGAAAAATAGCCTCATCGGTGTGTAAGGAGTTCTCTAAATGTTTATTCCAGGGACCTCAGGGAGAGCCAGGCCCCCCCGGACAGCAAGGCAACCCCGGTGCTCAGGTAGGTAATTTGCTTTAGATTTCTGTCTCGGCTATCAGAGAAAAGGTTCCGAACAGTTTCTTATCCTCTTCGCAGGGACTCCCAGGGCCGCAAGGAGCAATTGGACCTCCAGGAGAGAAGGTAGCATTTCAGGCCTGCTGAATATGGAATTCCTGCGGGGGAAGAAAAAAAAAAAAAAAAAAAACTGCTAGCAAGATAAAATGTTAATACATGCAGACCCAGAATCTGTAAAATTATTGGAATTTGCCTCATTCATTTGCATGAGCAAGAAAGCCAAGCTGCTTTCTTATTCAGGCCCAGATGCTTATCACACAATTATGCAAACACATCCCTGTCCTCGGCACGGAGTCCTGCCCCATATACAGCAGAGACCCATTCAAATCCTGATACGATTTAAGCCAATTACAGCCATATCACATTTGCCTGCTGACATCGTAGATTATTGAACACAGAAAGTTTAAAAATTAATTACATGGGTGGTATGTTTCCCTCTTTTCTTTTTTTTTTTTTCTAAAAGAAAGCTTTGAACAAAACGAGACAAAGACTAAAAACTCAACCTTTTCTTTCAGTGTGTTAGCTCAACAAAGCAGTCATCAGCTCAGGATGTTAATCCTATATAGTCTTGAGTTTTACAATAACACATAAACCGACAAAAAATGATAACTTGGAATATTTTAACTTAGCTGTTAGAATCTGCTAAAAAAAAAAAAAACACGTGACGTATCCTTTTTAGTCTAAGCTATCTTGTTTTCCTATCATTCGCATTTATATACCTAGAACTGGCGATGTCAGCCTTATGGTCAGGTTAAATAGACTGATTATGTACATTTTGTTTTAAAGTTGCAGCTTCCCACAGCAAGTGAGGAACTGCTGGGTTTTATGGCATCGTACACATAAATCACCGTTTGGTACTTAAGTTTTGAAGTCATGGTTTGGCATTATTTGGTACAAACACATTAAGAAAAGTGAAGCAAAGTGAATTTTTCCCCCCCAACACAGCCTTAAACCAAATAAAATTGAAGCATGAATTACACCAAATTAGCATATCCAGTTGCTTCTACTTCCTCTTGCTAATGTAAGACTGGTAAAATATTCTGGCTGTAATGCTAACAAGTAGGAATTTTCTCTAAACTCGGCTTTCAGCTACGTCGCTGCTACAAAGACTCTTTTGGGGTCTATTGTGGTCTAAATGTCAGCAATCGTCTGTTTTTAATGGTACAATAACCTGACTTAGCACTTTAGGGTGATGCCATTTCAAATGAGTAGTTAAGCTCCACATAGAGCGAGTTACTTACATTATTTCTGTTAATGAAGACGACCAAAATATTCATTAAGTGCGTCTTACATTCTGCGTTCAGCAGACTATAATGATAGTTTGAGGCCCTCAAACTTTTGTCCTTTTCACGTTTTTTTTTTTCAATGTGCTGCCTTTTACAAAAGTTGCTTGAGGGAAAATAGATGTTCTCCATGTGTAAAAGTTTGAAAAAGCGACATAAGTGCAGGTCACAAGTGAATTGAACCAGAAAGGCGCATTTTGAAAATGATCAAATGTGTGTCTTTGCACCAATTATTGACCTTTATGTCCCACCATGTACTTGTTTTTACTTTAGAGATAACGCCCAGTTGTGGAGTTATTGTCTTTCCTTCATCTTCATTTTAAAAAACAACTGATTGTCTCATTTTATGTAACCAGCATCAAATTCAATTGACTTCAACTTCTGAAGTTTGCCTTTGTAAGGACTTCATATTGCATTTCTGCAGACTTTTATGAGCTTTTAAAACATACTGACTAAGTGTGTGATGTTTGTCAAGGGTCCAACTGGAAAGCCCGGATTGCCGGGAATGCCGGGAGCTGATGGCCCTCCGGTAAGTTTGTATCAAGATTATATCAAACTATCAAACTAGAACTGCAGCAAAGCTGACAAATGATGGATGGATGGATGTGAAACACTGTGAAACAAACTTCTGTAATTTCATATCGCTTTGCCACATTAGCGCTTCTAACATATACAGTGTAAACCACCTTGATGGTTATTAGTGTGAAGCATATGGATGATAGAACATTTTCATTTGGCTCTGTAACAGAAGATCATCACACCCACACAGAGTAGTTTATATGCAAACACCCTCCTTCACATCCCAGGCAGCAGTGACACCTGCACTAATGACAGATGTTTCTCAGAAATCACCAGGTGGCTCCTACCGTAGGAGAGAGGGGGGCCAAGACAGGCTTTTTGAGGTTTAAGTAACTTCAGGGGCAGGAAAAATAAATAAATAAATGAATAAAATTTGAATTAGAAAGTGAGTGTCTGTTGAAAGATGAGACAAAATGGAGAAGAGCTCACATAATGCGATATGTCGCTTCACAGTCCTTCAAAGGTTCATGTTTCGGATTTGAAATAGCTCACACATCCATCCACTCAGACTTTTTTCTTTTAATTCATTTGTTGTCTATAACTTCAATTACAACATCCACAGCCGTAGAGCTTCCTCTCTGCCCCTAATTTCTTTCCTCTTTTGTATCCATTTCGGTCTCTGTGCTAAAAACGCATCAGTGGCTTTGCGAAGCTCCTTTGTCTCACGAGAATCCAATCAATTTTCCTCCAGATGTCTTTTTACTGGACCTCCTCGTGCGTGTTCTGTGTGGCGTCGCCGCAAACTCGTCGTTGTGTGTTAGTTCACACGGGCCAGAGCGTACGCGCGTTCGCATTGTGAGGTCTCAAAGCGACTTTGGTCTCGGCTTTTAGAGCCCCGTAATAGCTGTGAGTGCATCTGCAACACTGCGCATTAAGGATGGAAAACGAATTCCCAAATGAGACTGGACCCTTGAAAGGTCCACTTTCCCACTTTCCCAGTCAGATTTGCCCTTCAGCAGTTTTACAGCCCAGTCTTTCAGTTATAGGCATGTTGCACTGTTTATGGTGGTAATTATGCTGAAATGCTATGCTATAATATTCCTCTCAATAATTCACAGGGTCACCCTGGCAAAGAGGGCCCGACTGGGGAGAAAGGACACATGGTGAGTTGTTTTTTTCTTCTTATTTTCCTTCGTCTTCTTCTTCTTCTTGCTCTTCTTCTTCTTCGTCTTCTTCTTCTTTTCCTTCTTCTCCTCTTCCGTCTTAATTTATTGAGAGATTTCTAATTGGATTTTTTTTAGATGTTTTTTCCCCACATCCAAGAAGATACAATTAGCAGCTTTTGCTACTGATTATCACTCTCCAGTTTACAATTATATAGCTTATATAGTTTTAGGTGGTTACAGTGTCTATTTAACAACCTTCGAAATATTTTTATAGTTTCTCTGCAATGAAAAGTTATTAACTAATTATATTAAAAGGAGAGATGCCACACTGTGTGCATGAAAAAGAGAAAGCAGTGTTTGTAAACATTGTTTTGCTATTGACACAAGTAAATATAGTCTTTCCTGTTTATATTTATTACTGAATTACTGAAAATATGCAGCTTAATTTTCAAGAATGATGCCAACACTTAAATAGATCTTAAAGTGCATAAGAAGGGCAGTTTTGCTGTGTTTCATTTAGCCTTTCTTGCTCCTTTAATAAAACTTTAATGAGCAGCTGGCTCACTTAAAAAAAAAAAGTTTTTCTTTTAAAACAGCTTCTTGAACTTTTCGTGGGTCACCTGAACACGCCACTGATGCTGATAATGGCTAGCTGTCTGGCTGTTTCCCTCAGTAACAGCTTCAGAGCAGAGTGATGACGTCATTGTAACTTGTTAGCGCTGCTGCTAGCTAGACAAGTTAAGAACTTTGATTATGAACCAAAATCAAACCCAAATAACGAAATCACATTACCTGGAAATAATCACACATCCTTGCAATAAATTTTATGGGAATTATAAAAAATAAAAAAAACTGAAGAAAAAAAAACCGGAGGGCTCCTTGACAGATGATTTGTACACCAAATAGACTGGCAGGTCATCAGTTCCGCTAGTTAAGCTAAACATTGGCCACTTCCTGTCACTGGTGGATGCATCATACTAGTCCATGTTTGATCATTTTTTGTTAGCATGATGCTAGTTCTTATCAAATGTCGGTCTTCTTAGGGCCCTGCCGGACCTCAAGGCCCCATTGGTTATCCAGGACCTCGAGGTGTAAAGGTAAGTTCATCGCTATTAATGTCGCTAAAAATGTACATTTTGGGAGTAGTACTATATAGAGCTAATGGCTGTTAAAGGACAAATAATATGTGTTAGGATATTGTTTAGTATTAGCATTTAATTATTATTTTGTGCAATTAATGATGGTTCAGATCATGAACTGCTTGTCATGAAAGCACAGACGGCAGTGCACAGCTTTCACTGAGAAAACTCAACAAGCTTGGCTTGTGCGCTTGGCTTGTGCTCAAGAGTTCCTGTCTTAGTTGGCTGAAATCTAGGAGGATGGTCAAGGATTTTATTTTATTTTATTTTATGTTTGCTCTGGAAACTTTCTATTCTCTGCGGGGAAGATTTTTAGAAGAACGGTGAGTCAGCTACTTCAGAAGCTCTTGCCAGCCTTATTTTAGAAAAACTGTCATCACATTGTGGGTGAATATTTTCACCTGCCAGAGCGAATGTGCCGCCGTTTTTTTCCTCCCTCTTGTCCCGTTTGCTTCCTGATTGTCGTGTAACGTCCGTCTGATCTCTCTTGTGTCACAGGGAGCTGATGGCGTCCGAGGCCTCAAGGGAACCAAGGGTGAAAAGGTAAGCGGAGGCAGGTGGGAGGGCGACCGAAAATAAATCAGTTATTCAAGTCAAATTTGACATTACCAGAGAGATGATGGTGATTGTGATTAAACTGATGATTGGGGTTGATGGCCTTTGCTTGCTAATGATAATCGTAGAACACATAATTTTGGTGCTACAAAAAAAAGGGGGGCCATCAAGTGTTTCTATGGCAACAATGGCTCTCGTCTCATTGCTGCTCTGTCAGACTTGACGTCTGTGTTTGTGTGCGGGCCTAATCTGGAGGGAGTAGAGGATATTTGACTAATAAAAAATGTTTTTTCTCATTACAGTCTTGTCTGTTGCATCTCTAACAGTGAGTTTTTATTTTTCTCATGTTAGGGGGAGGACGGCTTCCCTGGCTTCAAGGGAGACATGGGCATAAAGGGCGACAGGGTAAGGTTCAGGTTTGACTTGGAAACGTCTTCACACCTGTCTCACCTGGCTCACATTACATTATTGTGTTTTATTTGTATTTTAGTGTCTGAATGAAATAAATCATTGAATAATTCTGAAGTGGAAGGAAAAGGATACATAATTTTTAACATTTGAATCTGTATTCAGCTCTGTTTGTCTCACTGTCCCCTAAATAAAATAATCTGAGAAGTAGCCAGGGGGGTAAATGGCAACTCTGGAGGAGCTGAATGTACCTAGAGCTCGGGTGGGAGAATCTGTTGACAGGATGATTCCACTTCCTGTCGACGGGATCACAGCTGTAATTCATGCTAGTCTTTAGCCCAGTTGAAAGGTAGTGTTTTACTCAGAGATGTACAGATTTCAATGCGACTTCTTGGGCCACAATAGACACCCGACTCCATCTACCCAGATGAGGAAAAGTAGAAAAGAACTGACAAGAAAGTGTAACGTGTATTTTCACCAGGACAGAGATGCTGATTTTTTGTTTTTGCCCTTGCAGTTCCTGAGAGATTAATTATCCAAATAAGAAAACAGCAGGTCTCCTGGCTCTTGTATTTCTACAACAAGCACCAATGTTGTTTGTTTTTTTTCTTACTTCTTCAGCTCGTGATTCAACCCCATCATTTTCTTTAAAAGCTGTGTTTGGTGTTAGTGGGACTGTCAACGTAAAAATCTAACCGGAGAGTATTAGGTGACCCTCGTGGGCAAGTGCAGATGACAAACATTTATATCACACAGGCTTTGTAGTCAGCTGAACAGCAGATTGGACTATTTGGCCCTTAGTGTTGCTCTCCACAAGCAGGGCTTTCTATCGTGGAAAGAAGCCCATACAAAGTTCTGTTTTCAGTTTGCCATCATGTAGAACATATGAAACATGCAGAAGAAGGTCCTCTGGTCTGACTAGGCCAAAACTAGAAACCTACATTCAGAAGCCTACATGTTAAATGCTTTGTGTGACAGTGCTTCTGTACGGCAGACGCGGTTCGATTGGGGACAAAAATGGCAACATTTTCAGTTCTCTTTCTCACTGCACTGTCAAAAGATCCAACCTCTTTGAAAAGCCCGTTTACTCCTTTGCCTGTGGTGGCAAAGGAGTAAAGAAGGAAACGACATGAAGGAAACGACATGAAAACCTCAGAAGAAGACACTGAGCACAGCTTCCTATTTTGCAAAATGTACACAAAGACAGAGTGGTAGGTTTTAGCGAACAAAGGATTTCTCCTTTGTCTTTGGTAAAAAAAAAAAAAAAAAAAAACGTCAGCCATTTCTCCTGCGAGTGGTAGACTCTCACATTTGTTTAGGTTGTATTTACCCAGAATGCCCTGCACTATAGTCCACTTCCTGTTTTCGGAGAGGTCTCCAATCCGCTTGGCATCTACAAGCCAATCCGCTTGGCACTCACTTTTGCACTTTGGCATTCAAACCACGCCAAAGTTCACTTCAATCGAACCGAGACCAGGAATTTTAGACAGACCAGAGTTTGCTTCCTTTGGTCTGCATAAGGGTTTGTTTAAGCATTCACACCTCTCCAAAGGAATCAGGCTTTCTACGCAAGCAAACTAGATTTTAATTAAAATGGACAAAACTGGGTTGATGGGAATGGACCCTATGTGTTGCTGAAGGCTGGAAAGCTTGTCAGACTTAAAGGAAAAGTTTTATGGGTGTAAGTACTAAAATATCTTGGATGAAAATGAACATGTTACATGTGGCAAAATTCATATATTAGAGTGGACAAATTAATATACAGACAACTGAGAATCTGTGGGAAAACCTTAATTGTAAAAACATTATCTGTCCAACCTGATTGAGCTTGAGCAGGTTGAACTGAGCACCAATGCCACACATCTGGTAAAGACATATATCACAGTGGCGGAAGGGCGTGGATATTTTTGCAGGGCAATGTAAATTTGTCACTCAAAGCAAATGTAACTGTTCAAATAGTTTGAAGTTTAGCATCGTCCAAGTTAACCTACAGTGACCCCTTCTGCGGCAGCCTCCCTCCCCCGTTGCCTGAAGCCTTTCTGACTGCTGCGGAAGAGAACGTAATGAGAAAACATGAGGTGTTGTTCATGTTGACAGCTCTAATCGTGTAGCAGTTTTCAATTCCTCCTCCGCCTCTTCCAAGTCGGTCCTAAACCCATCGCCCGCCCGCCCCGATGTAGGAGAAAAAGAAGTTTGACACACTCACTCCGGAGCAGCTCCTCTGAAGTGCATTAGGGATTTATGCTGTCAAGCCGCAGGAAAATATGACTTCCACAGTGAGAAACATAACTCACTGCAGCCCCATACTTGAAACATTAAATCCCCCCATCCCTGAACCGGGCTGTCTCCAGCTGAAAAAGGAGGGAGAAATCAATGGCACTTTAAACACCACTCCAAGCCCACGAGAGACACGGGCCTTCCGCCATGTTTTCCTCTGGAGACTACCCCGATCCAGATGAAAGCAAAGATTTGAGGAGGCCCCCTCTGCTTTGGCGTTGCCCACATGGGCCAGGCTGCAAATGACTCGGTTTGAAGCAGGCGTGTGAAAGGGGGGGCGCGTGTGTGTTTGCATGCGCGCGAGAGCGCTCAATTTAAAGTGTTTTGTTTGATGAGCCTGCGAGCGTAAGTCAAGTACAGTTTGCCTGATGCCGTTTCATGTGTGCTTGAGGGGAGCGCGTGCGCGTGCATCTGCTTGCTTTGCAACTCTGCACGGACCTTTAACTAGATACCGTTCACACACCAATGGGCCTCGGCAAGCAGCGCCGGGCTGTCAGTGCCAGTTTGTACTCTGTCATTTAGTGTGTGTGTCCTTTTAAAATGGGAGCGCACTTACAGCGAGAGGCAGTAATAGGATTGCTAACCACTTTTCAACGGGAACAGTATCTAACTGGATCCTTTAAGCAAGTGTTCAGTCCTGTTAAAAGGGCCAACCTGAACTACTCAAAGGACAACAACTGGCTCAAAAGTATAATAGGGGTTCATCTCATCATACTCAGGATTTTCTTTTGTGTCTGTGTGTGTGTGTGACAAAATGTTCTCTATTTGGCTTACATCCTCATTCTTTCTTAGGAAAACACACATATACTAGTGAGTAAAATGATTAAAATTAGCAACACATAGCAATACGACAACTTTAATGTCCATTACTGTTATTCCCATTAATAGACAGAAGGTGGCAGTAATGCTGTGCCTGGGAAAAGTATTCACACCCTGTGAACTTTTTCCATATCACAAACTTTAGTGATTGAATCAAGATTTGTATTTTAAATACCGACACAAAGTAGTAAATAACTGCAATCAAGATCCGAACTGATGTGTGCAGTAGGTACTTACAATCCGTCTAGCTCTGCGCCATGTAGTGAAAGAAACATTCACGCTTTGTGGTTCCTCCTGTGCTGTCCAGGGAGAACTTGGACCGGCGGGACCCAGAGGAGAGGACGGCCCAGAAGGGCCAAAGGGTCGCTCAGGGCTCCCTGGAGATCCTGGTCCTCTCGGCCCCTCTGGTGAGAAGGTGAGACGCTTTTTTTTTTCTTTCTTTTTTCCAATTTATATTTCTTCACTATGAGTCATACTTATTCCTCACTGCCTGCCTAAAAGAAAGTAAAAAAAGATTCATCTTTATTTTCTTATCCTCAGTCATGTTTGCTCTAAGATTAAGGCGCAGCCAGGCTTTAAGAGGAAACCTTTTTTTTTCTCCCAATTATCTGATCTGAACAGGGATCAGTTTGCCCACTGCTGCTGCTCTTCAACCAGCATTAAAGGCTTCAGTTAAACACTGAGTAGGCTGCTGTGTATATTTCACACAGCCAATGGCAAATCTCCCAGATGACTTAATCATTTTTTTAACAGAACTGAGGAGTTGATTTATTGTCTTCTGACGCTCGCTGGAAAAAGATTCTTAATTATCTCAATGTTTAACAATCCCTTGAACACATGTATTTGATTTTTATGCCTTAGACACTGATTCACACAGTATTGAAGCTGCTTCTTTTATGTTTTTTTTTTTTTCTTTTCAGAATCTGATTTGACCAAATTATTGAGTTGTGGTCAATATTTCAGTTTCCTTATTAAGTCTGCATTAAATAATGCCGATGCCGTTTCTGTGTATAATTAGAATCGACGCTTCAGCTGTAAACAGCGCGGGTATTTATTGAGCTGTGGCGCTTGTGCATGTTTAATTTTTGTGTTCATTAACATTAAAAATAATGGGAGGTTTGCTCAGTCTTGTTTTTGTTATGAGATAAGATGTTTTTGCACTGAACTCAGTGGAGAACAACAGCAAAAAAGTCTAAATATTTATTGGGATGTAATAGAATAAAATAATGATGCGGTCACCTGGTGAAGGCTGCGTTTTCAGTTGCACTGCATCACCAGTTTTTATTGCCCTTCACCCGTGGCAGTCACAGAGAAGCGCCACAACAATATAGCTCAACAAAGGAAAAATGGGTTCAGCAGCAAATCATGTTTTCTTTTTTTATTTTTATCTGTTTGCTGCAGTTTATATACTTGGGATGGAAATAAATGTTACCAACTGTTATGATTCCATCAATCAGACGTTTTTATTCTGCAGTGTCTGACACTAGAAATGGTCAAACCGTAATGTAGCTGTGGTGTTATGCTGCCTGTAGAACCTGCAAAAATAAAACATCAAGCTGGAGACAACAGATTTACATGCAATTCGCCTGGTGGAGCGTGTAACTACTTGAGTTTTATTTTTACATTTTGCATCTAACATGAGAAGAATAATATAGAAACAAATGACAAAAGTTTTCATTTGTATTGCATTTTTTTTTAGATACAAAAAAAATAAAGAATGTAACATGTCAAGTTAGCTTTAATTGATCTGAGTTATACAAAATTAAGCATTTTTCAACATCAAGACATTAAACCTTTGATGGGCTTTACAAAAGTATAGTAAATTATATAGTCCCTACATTGGACAGCTGTAATATAGTTCAAAGTCTGACTCAATATGTACTGCAGGAGTCTGCAATAGACTTATAGACACTCTTGCTAAAGATATTTTTTACAAGAAGCAGTTTGCTAAACTGCTAGGCTAAAGCTAGCACATTAGCAAACCAGGAATAGATTCCCTTTATCACTGTGAATGTCTTTGAGAAGAATAATAAAAAAAAGTTTGAAGGAAATATGCCAGTTTGTTTGATCAGCAAAATAATAGGTGTCTGCCATAATACAGATTTGCATGCCTTGCACATTAAAAAGGTAGAAATATATGTAGAGCATCACAAACAGTACACCACCAACACGTATCAGGTGTTTAGTCCAACCTCTCTGCTGCTGAAATCTGACAACTGATTATCTTTGTTTATGTTGAATGTTAAATTTCGTCGTCATATTGCAACTTTGAGTTTAGCAAAGGTTCTCTCTTAGGCAAATCACAAGCATTTTATCGAAATGTGTTTTTGTCAACAGGGTAAACTCGGAGTTCCCGGATTGCCAGGCTACCCAGGAAGACAAGGACCAAAGGCAAGTGCTCAGCATATTGCTAACCAAAAGCATTACTCAGTGATGGTCTCTGGCAAGTTAAGGTTTAAGATAATAATTTTACCAACATGTTTGATCAAACTGAAAGAGGTAATGGTAAAGATTAAGCTAGGAGGTCCAGTATCCTCAAGGACTTGGCAATCACCTGTCCAGAAAGCTGGTTAGCAAATAAAAAAAGGATAATGCCAATACAAATGTTTTCATTGGTTAGTAAGAAGGGCATAATTAATGTTTTAACATAATATTGTTTTTTTAATGTAAATGTAATTTTGACTATTTTTCCAAAACCTTTTACTTTGGTTGCTATCTTTTGAGAGATCTTTGTCGAATTCCCTTTCTTGGTTGAATAAAAGTTGTTCAAAATCTAAAGTATCCATGAATAAAATTGAACTTAACTGGAGCTCTGAGACATTACACACTTTGCCTGTCTGTACTGTCATAATGCTGCGTTTCTATTTCCATGTCTTTGTATGCTTTCGAAGCTGTTTTTTTTTTTTCTACCATCAGCTACTTCAAGCATTAAGCTTGTTGTAGCAAAGCCTGAGTCGGAAAAGTGGACGTGCTTGAAGCTTCCTGATCAAAGAGATGAAGATGTGAATAAGCAATCCCTGTCAGCCCTCTGCTGCTTATGCGATAACAATAAAACACCGCAGCGCCCTCTCCCACTAGCTACAACGGGCTGGGAGTATTCCAGGGAGTGAAATAAATAAGGAAGAAGTGCATATCTTTTCTCTCTCAGGTGACTAATTGCTCTCTTTTCTGCCACACAGGGATCTCAGGGCTTCCAAGGCTTCCCGGGCGCCAACGGAGAGAAAGGCTCCCGGGTACGTCGCACAGAGCATTTTTTATTTACATTAGCCCGACTGAGTGTTGGAACACGGACCCGGATCGAGATTGATCAACCCCAGCGGAGGCTCCGTGGCTCCGAAACAGATTTGACCAAGCAGAGGAAGAAAGCACCTTTTACACAACTCATTTCAAACCAGCAAAAACATTGTTTATCACCCGACGGCACTTTGAGCAATGTTTCACGCACTCTGCGTGTGTCAGCGACGGGCCATTAGCTCGCCTGGAAGAGTAACAGTTTGTCACCGCGACTGGCTGGAGCGGGTCGCATAAAGCTTCTCATCTTTGCAGGACAGTCGGGGAAAGTTTATGGGACTGAGCTGAAAAGGAAGAAAAGAAAAGCTTAAAGGCTTAATACCACTCAAAAGATGCGCTTGTTTTCTCATTAAAGTTAAACGAGCCCGTTTTAATTTGGGCCCTGTGATATGACTGTTAAATTGTAAAAAAAAAAAGTTATTTTCTATAGCGCTAACGGCTCAAATGTTGGTGATTAGAAGAATTAACGATGACATAAAAGCGCACACAGGCCTGGACGAGACGTAAAAGCTGTTCTCAGAGCAGAGCGACGGCCTGATTCTGTTGAGCTCCGTCTGCAGATATGATCCTCTCCTGGCCTTTAGATTAATTCATGTTGAGCATGCAGCCCAATCTCCCTTTAATGATGCGAGTTGCCACTCCTTTGATCACTGCGTGTTCTTAACATCCACAGGGCACAGGAGGAAAGCCAGGCCCACGCGGACAGAGAGGACCAACGGTTAGTCTTACTCAGCACACTTCAGCTTATCTACAGATGGCAAACTTGGCACCTCGGTAAAAGCAGGAGGAGGGGGAGTGGGGGCCCTCGACGTGGCTATTCTTGAGGGGGAGCCAAGTCGAAACATTAATTAATCTCAGCGTTTCCAGGTCATCTGTATCTCTGGCGGAGCCCTCTCTGTGATTTTGATCATGTCTTTGTTTCCGTCAGGGGCCGCGAGGAGAGAGAGGGCCGAGGGGACCGACGGGGAAAGCTGGACCAAAAGTCTGTGAAATATTTCGCTCTCATCTTATGGGTTCTTTTGGCGAGTGTGTGTGTGTGTGTGTGTGTGTGTGTGTGTGTGTGTGTGTGTGTGTGTGTGTGTGTGTCGTTTTTTTGTTTTTTTCACAGCTGACCCCTATGCTTTGTTTCCTCAGGGTAACTCAGGAAATGACGGCCCACCAGGACCTCCTGGAGAAAGGGTATGTAGCATTATTCTCTTATCAAAAGTCAGGTTGTTTGAAAGGAATCTGCTGTTCTGAGAGAGATCAATGATTTCTGACTGGCAGTTATGTATTTTTCTTTTTCTTTTTTTTTTTCAGGGTTTGCCAGGGCCTCAGGGACCAACAGGTTTTCCAGGACCAAAGGGCCCTCCTGTGAGTCAGATGATCTTTAGAAAGCCATGTTTTTTTATTGTTTTTTTAAGTACATTTACTTTGAATTTGTGGATTTGTGTGAATTTGTCAGGGACCCCCAGGGAAAGACGGACTGCCTGGACATCCTGGACAGAGAGGAGAGACTGTAAGTAAAGCTGTTTGATCGCTGAGCTCGTTTGTAGTCGCCAGACTGTTCGGTGATGGACTGAGTTTTGGTTTCTTCTGTCACATCCAGGGATTCCAAGGCAAGACAGGCCCTCCTGGTCCTCCAGGTGTGGTTGGACCTCAGGTACGCTCCTTGCTTTATTTTTCTTCTCCATTCACCCAGAAAGCAGTGTCCCGTACCAGTCACGTGTTTAGATGTTGCACTCTTGTTAGTGTACTTTCTGAAACGCGCTCGCATCAAAGCAACGGGAACAGCTAGGAACGCTTTCAGCCGGTCCGGCAACAGCTGATTTATTGTTGCGAGAGCCGTACCTCGGGTGCTGTTTTTCTTTCTATATTAGCTTTGGGCTCTTCATCCATTATGCATGACTCCTTAGCAGACTTACCCTCCCAGCAGTTCTGCTAATGCCAGCTGAGAACATCGACGATAATGGAGGAACACCGATGCTTTAAGGAGGAGTTGCCCTCCTACTCAGTAAATGCTCAATTTCTCCTTTAGGATTTAAGAAGCGAAAGCGTCATTTTCCGTCATCATTCCTCACCGAGTACACACATTAGGCCTAACATAATGACTTTGCACCTACACCGGTCTGCAGCTATGAAGCCCCATTACTACAAACAGCAATGCCCTGTATCCTGTGTTCATTTTATTGGAACCACCGCTAGCTTATTTAGCAATCTGAGCTTCAGTAGCTTCTCTGTTACAATCGGATTAGACAAGCCATTTTATTATTTTTCCTGCAGGGACCAACAGGTGAGACTGGACCAATGGGAGATCGAGGTCATCCGGGACCCCCAGGTCCACCTGGTGAGCACGGTCTGCCCGGAGCTGCAGGGAAAGAAGGAGCTAAGGTGAAACTTTGGACTCTGGACCACTAGTCGCACTTCCCGCATCTGTTGACTATTTGATTCAGGACGTTATTTATTCAAACTAACCACAGGGTGACCTCGGTCCTGCGGGCCCAACTGGTAAAGACGGCCCTCCCGGACAAAGAGGCTTCCCTGGAGAGAGAGGTCTGCCAGGCCCTGTGGTAAGTCGTCTCTCTCTGCTCAGCATTCAAATATACCTTCCAACAAAATCAATATTTCTCGCTCCATGTCTATTTCATAATAGTCTGAGGCTATAAGCTATTAAACTGCTGTAGCAATGTGTTAAAGTCAAGCAGCTCTGAGTGGGCTCCAAAACAGGAACAGGTTGTTTATTTAACTTTAGGTTGTTCTTTCCCCCCCTTTCCCCATTTTACGAGAACGCTTATTACACTTTTTCACTACAAAGAAATCATTCGTAATATCAATTCAGTCCCCATCGCCGTGACATGCTGAATTATGCGGTACACACACCGCCTCTCTCTGCGACGACGAAGCAGATTTGCTGCTGTATTGGTAAAAAACTGTTTTCTCCATCTGCTGAACGGCTGCTTTGGGGACTGCAGGAGGTTTTCTACCTCATGCTGTGCCAGTTTAAAGATAGGGAGTTTATGAGGCAGGATGCTTTCTCGACAGATGCGTGTGTGTGTGTGTGTGTGTTTTTCTCAAGCCTTTGTTTAATTTTGCTCTGCAGGGGGCTCATGGTCTGAAAGGGAATGAGGGTCCTCAAGGCCCACCTGGACCTGCTGTGAGTATATTTCACTGCATCTACATGCTAACCTTTCATTAGCTCAGATGTGTCTCTGAGGAGAGCCTTCATGCTAAAGTTGGTATCCTGAAATTTTCAATTTATAGAATATATAATGATGTATGTCAAATATGTTACTTACATATGAGTGATGATAGTTTTGATCCCGCTTTATTATTTTGGTGACTAACTTTGGTGTGTTTTGTTTGCCAAAGGGTTCTCCTGGCGAGCGGGGTCCGGCCGGCCCAGCCGGACCTACAGGCCCGCCTGGACGTTCTGGCCCACAGGGACCACCAGGCCCTGCTGGAGAGAAAGGTGGACCGGTAAGGGGCTCGTGTTACAGAAATAGCCGCGGTGTGCTAGATGTACTGCTGTGCCTTTCTGACTGTGCCTTTATGAAATAACTCCAGGGAGAAAAAGGTCCTCAGGGCCCAGCCGGAAGAGACGGTATTCAGGGACCTGTGGGACTACCAGGACCTGGAGGGCCACCGGGGCCACCCGGAGAGGATGGAGACAAGGTCAATTGCTTTATATGGCTCGATTTCCGTTCTGTCTGAAAGGAAAAAATTGCAACAAAAAGCTTAAACCACTAAATCTGATGTTTGGTTTTAATAAATTTAAATAAAATTAGAAGTCAGGACCATTCTAGAAGCTTAATGTTTGCCACCTTTATGCATTTCAGTCCTTTTTGTTTGATGTGTGTTTGTTGATGGATAACCTCTTAACACACTTATCTATGTCCAAGCTTCAGTCATTAAAGCTCTGGAAAAAGTGAGAGATCACTGCCAAATGATCAGTTTTCTGATTTTACTCCTTACAGGTAGATGTTTGAGTAAAATAAACATTGTCCTTTTACTCTATGAACTACTGACAACATGTCTCTGAAATTCCAAGCGACGGCCTGCAGAAAATGCTAAATAATGCAAAGAAATCAATAGTAATGTTTTGACTCAGAAAGAGTTCAGAAATCAATATTTGGTGGAATAACCAGGAGGTTTTCAGTGCAGTGGTCTCTTCATTTTTTTCCAGTGCAGGTGAAGAGGTTAGAGGTAGACCTCCATGTACATTACTTACCAACTTCATAGGCTGGATCAGTGAATGAGAGCCTGAAAACATCGACTCCTACAAAAGTTGTTCTTTTCATCACTATGAGGGGTTTTCTTCTTGGCCAAAAAACCTTTCTGAAGACTTTGGTTTTGTCCTGGTAAACAGTTAGAAATTTCACCTGAGCTTTAAATTGTCCTTTTATAGTCATTTTTGGTCCAGTGTGTTGACACTAGTTTGAGTCTTGCTTGTTTCTGAGTGGTTCATGAACAAAGAACAGTTTGAGCCAGATGGTTGAAAAGATTACTCAGACACACTCATTCAAAAGCTGAAGATTCACGTAACTTACATTGCCAACAATGTAAACATGTACTGTGCTATAAACAGAAATATATGTAGCCCAGACACCAAAGCTGGGATATAAATCATATTTCTTTTCATCCCTTTCCCTCTGATCCAAACGCTCCGAGGGAAATTTGTTTTACAGAGTTTGCATTGATTTGCAGATCTTTAATCGTCTAGCCAGCCTTGTTGCTGCGGCGCACAAACAAAGCAGCGATAAGCGCTGAATTTAGAGGCAGTAACACAACGTGTCACGGTGACTCTTTAGCATTCAGAGGTGAGAGCAACTCCTTATGCGGGAAGATGAGCAGCGGCGGAAAGTCAAAGGATAATCTCTCATCCTGCCGGTGAGCTCCTCGGTTCTTGCGGGGCCCTTCAGCGGTCCCTGCAGAGAGTGGACGGACAGAGACAACGCCGGGAGCATTTGCTGTGTGGGATTTACGAGATATTACTAGCTAACATTTTACACGCGTTCAGACACTTTCATGCCGTGGAGATTTGACTGATTTAAGAGCTTTTTCATGAGACAAAAAAAAAAAAAAACATTGTCTGGCTAACCCCATAATTGCCTTCAGCACCGATAGCTATTAGGAATACACGTCCAAACACCCACAGCGTAGAAAAGGTTTTGAAAGGGTGCAAAGGTACAAACGGCTTTATTTTGTATCTTTCAGTGGGTTTTCTAATGGAAGCAATTATCTTGTTTTTCTTTGCTCGATAGTTTGCGAGTGACTCAATATAAGCCCCACTTTGCCCCCTCCTTTGGGTGTAAATTGTCAGAAAAAAGAGGGCTGGATAAAATTTCTGTTGGTTTTGTCAGTTTCCCATATCTGGTTTTCTGTTATGGGAAATGTCCGAGCAGGTGATGCATAAGCATAATGTGCATGATGTATCCTTAGCTGAGGATTGTGTTTCACTTTGATGGTTCTGTTTCACAGGGTGAGATTGGAGAACCAGGACAGAAAGGAAGTAAAGGTGACAAAGGAGAACATGTAAGTTTTTTTTAGTTTTTTTTATCAACCATTTTACGTCTTCAGATTTTGATGAGTATTTAGTATTCTAGTGAATACACCCATTCATGTTAAGAAAAATAACACAAGACTTCTATTGATGTGCTCCTCTTCAGGGTCCTCCAGGTCCTACGGGCCCTCAAGGCCCTGTCGGAGCACCAGGTCCTGCTGTAAGTGCCTGCTTTGTGTATCTTTACTTCTTGGTTTAGCAACTCTACGACATGACTCACTTCATAACCTCTTGTTTTTCGCAGGGTGCAGATGGAGAGCCAGGACCCAGAGGTCAGCAGGGTATGTTCGGCCAGAAGGGAGATGAAGGGTCGAGAGGTTTCCCAGGACCTCCAGGCCCAGTTGGGCTGCAGGTGTGCACCGCAATATCATCTCAAGTATTTTGAACAATCAAATCAAGAACAGACAAAATTTCAACCTTCTTCTAATTCTCCAGGGCTTGCCTGGTCCACCTGGTGAGAAAGGTGAAACGGGAGACGTCGGTCAAATGGTGAGATGGGCACTGAGACTGTGATAGCATGGAAAGAAGCATCCAGCCAAAACTCATTCACAAATCAAAATGGCTTTTATTGTCTACTACAGGGTCCACCCGGTCCTCCCGGTCCCAGGGGTCCTTCAGGTGCCCCTGGAGCCGACGGTCCTCAGGGACCCCCTGGTGGTGTTGGAAACCCTGGTGCTGTTGGAGAAAAGGTAAAACGTCTTACCTAGTTTTATTCACTAATGTCTCGAAACATTTTCCAGATATGAAATGAATGACGCACGACTGAAAGTAAAAAGAAATCCACATATTAACTGTAATTGCTATCTTTAATGCTAAAATGGGCTAGCTAAGCAAGATGTTACGCTGCCTCGCTACGTGGTTAGCAAAATTGTTAAAATCTATAAAAGAAGAAACAATAAGCCCAGATTTAAGAACGTAATGGCTGCTTCTAAAACTATTGGTGTGTAAATTGCAGCTCTAGCAAACAGATTACATGGTAGCAGCTAATAGTAATTCACTATTTATTAGTAGAGGCAACATTTTATGTAAAAAATTGAGATAAGTTGCATAAAACCACTCAATAAAGGAGGCATTTATAGTTTTAATGTCAAAAATATATGAAGGTGATATTTTTAAGCTGTTTTTACCAGCATTTATTAGGAATTAGCACAGCTAGCCTAGCTTACTCTATCAGCTAGCTTCCCAGGCTTTTTTTAACATATTGACTACATGGCAGAAAAAAAGCTGTAGCAGCTTTTTTTCACTCTAACAGTCCAACATAACTTAAACCATAAAACATGTAACAAACAAGAATACTAACATAAAACTATGCTACCCTTAAAAAACGCCTCTAAGCTAACAGCTCACCTTTTGCAGACACTGCGCCTGGGTAACTTATTGGAGGATGTTCCTGTTTTATGGATCAGATTCTGAGTTCGGTCGAGTTACTTTTTTTGCTTTCTCTGCTAAATGCTGACTCTGTACGCCTATTTAAAGAGTTCACAATGAGGTTTAAGTTTTAAAATAGTTCCTGGGATGCCGCCTTAACAAATGGAGGGGAGCTTTATAGCAAATGCAAATTGTATGATGGCTTTGTGTGTCTGCATGTTCCTGCTGCTGACCGTTCCGCCCACTTGAAGGGTACAACACTAGTTTTTTCTACTCTGTTTTATCCACCTTACAGTGATTGATACAGCACTGTTATGAGACTTAAATGCGGATTCACATTTAGTTCTTTGAACCCTATGGATGTAAACTGTCTGAAGAGATGGGTTGAGATGGATCTGGAGGGGTGTGACTATGATTGGTGGAATTATTTCTAATGGTTTTATTTGCCAGTAGAATACAAAAAGTCAGAGTGGGAGCAATCTGAAAGCATTAACGTTGAAACATTTGCATTTACTTTAAAACTGCATCTGCCAATTTTCGCTACCAAATCCAGTGAAGGAGAATTCCACGTATGCAGGCCAATACTTCATTAAAAGCCACTCTCAGATAGATTTCTTATTTGTTGCTGCTATTTCATTACAAGGAGGCCCATTTTGGCAGCTGCGTGGCTGCTGAGCTCATCGTTCTGCGTCCGTAGTGATGATGTGATTTGTTTTATCTCCTTCAGTCAATAGAATCACCTTTTGCTGCTTCATAATCCCCGTCTGAATAGCTTCTCCTCCTTCTGCACGAACCCACACACTGCTCTTCTTGGCTAATCGCCCTTCAGCTGAAATGGCATTTTATTGGCCGGCGCACAAAGTAGGCAGGCAACAAAAAGTCAGGCCATTTTTCCCCCCCTTTTTTTTCCTCCTGTAAACACAATCCTCGTGCATCTGTGATGAGCAGCTGTCTTGATTTTCTTTTTTTCCCCCTCTTGTCAGCAGATTTAGCCAAAAACACCACTGGTGGATGCAAGCAGGGTTGCATTTATAAAGAAAAAACAAAAACAGCATGTTTTGCTGAAACTTTAAGATTCAAATCATGCTTAGTTTAGATTTTTTGACAACAGCATGAGAGGTTTTGAAAGACAGCTCGACGCTTATTTTACAAAATCCTTGCCGACGCGCCCCCCCCAAAAAACCCCAAAAAACAAAAAAACACTGAGCCGTTCACGCCTGAGGGAATCCGGATGTGCTGATGGCAACACATCGACCCTGCCGCTGCGGAACCGCGCGGCTCGATTTGCTCCTTGCCTTCCGAACATGACATGGGATAATATTTTCTCCACAAAACAAGTGCAGCAGACTTTATCCGTTAAGCCCCAGCTGGGAGGGCAGTAGCTCTACGTGACAGTGAATAACGACACTGTCACGCGCGCAGGTGAGTCAACAGGTCAACTATTCAGTAGGGGGGGTAATAGGAGGAAGGACAAGATATATGGACAGGCTTTGGGGAGAACAGTGAGGTCAGCAGGCTCCATCCTCCAACCATCTCCTCACACTTGATGGATTGAAATCTCCCGAGTCGCGTCTTTCTGTTCTCATTCAGGTGACAAGGGCACAGGAACAGTCAGGGCATTTGTTGATCCGCAGTGGATACCTCGGATGATAATGTCTGTGTTTGTCCGTCCTCCTCTCTCAGGGAGATGCCGGCGAGACGGGAGAGCCAGGTCTTCAGGGGGAAGTTGGTCCGCCGGTGAGTAAATCCGTCTCTTCTTATTTGAGCCAAATGATCTAAGGTGTACTCTTTGTTTGGGAAAGGTGGAAATTTTACACCAAAGAGCTTATTGAAATATACATGTATATGTCTTTTTACCCTAGGGTCCAAGAGGAGAGCGTGGAGAGAAGGGAGAGGCCGGTCCAGCTGGTGCTGCGGGACCTCCTGGCCCTAAAGGTCCACCTGGAGATGATGGCCCTAAGGGCAGCCCTGTGAGTTCTCATCCGCCTTGAGCTGCACAAAAACACTTTTGACACTGTAACAATGGTTGCCCAGGTGATATTTACTGTGCTAAATTTAAAATTACAAGTCCAAAAAGACGAGTGGTGTTTATTTTCTATCTAATTCTTAGGGTCCGAGTGGCTTCCCTGGAGACCCTGGACCACCTGGAGAGCCCGGTCCAGCTGTAAATATACACATGACTGATTGCCTCTAAGCTCCGGTGTTTACATCGCTTAAAAATAAAACATGTTTTTTGACTGAGGTTCTGTTTGTATGTAATTCAGGGATTAGATGGCCCAGCTGGTGATAAGGGAGACGACGGAGAGGCCGGTCAACCTGTGAGTGCTTTGGTTACTTGTAAGGGGGTTATTACTGCTTTGTCGTTGCTGAAAAGTGTTAATAGTTGATGGCTGCATTTTCTTTTCAAACCAGGGTTCACCTGGACCCACCGGAGAGTCTGGTCCTTCTGGACCACCCGGAAAGAGAGTAAGTAGAACCTGGAGGTCTTTCCGTCTTGTTTTGATACAAAAACTTTTTTTTTTTATCAGATTCTAGACTCTTATGCTCTGTGTTTGCATTATGCTTCAATAATCTCTGTCAATAATTTATTGAAACAGGGGCCTCCTGGAGCACCGGGGCCTGAGGGAAGACAAGGAGAGAAAGGAGCCAAGGTAACTCATGGAATACGTAAAAGTTCTCTATATTTTATGTCTTCCAATTTGTGAATATATTTCATCCGAATAAAAATGCAATCTATAACCTTAAAAGGGAGAGCCAGGCATTGAAGGTCCCCAAGGAAAAACAGGCCCTGTGGGCCCTCAAGGATCACCTGGAAAGCCCGGTTCTGAAGGACTCAGGGGCATCCCCGGCGCGGTTGTAAGTACAGCCTGACTTCTCTTGTTTTGGTATTTGTTTTGGAAAAAAAAAATGCAACATTTATGCAAAGAAAGTTCTGGCTAACAGCAAAATATAAACGATTCACACTGTCTGGAGGTAGTCTCTGAAAATCCTGAATAACTGATGTTTGTTTGAAGGGCGAGCAAGGACTGCCTGGCTCTCCAGGCCCAGACGGACCTCCTGGACCTATGGTGAGTAAATGCACCGGCCCCGGCTTTACTATTTGCTTACAAATAGTAAGCAAAAAAAATCAGTGTTGGTCTGATCCGAGTGATTCTTGTTCTCTTCACAGGGCCCTCCTGGTTTGCCTGGTTTGAAAGGAGACACTGGTGTTAAAGGAGAGAAAGTAAATACCTCCACCACCCATTAAAGCCACCTAAATAATTCAGAGCACCGGCGTAACATTAAAACTAACGACCAAACTCAATAACTTATGAGATTTCTTTGCCTCTGGTCGTCAATTTGGCAACCTTATGTTTAGAGGCTCTGTCAGATAGATGTATTTACGCTCAGACTGATGTATTATTGACTGTTTTTTTGTCCGCAGGGCCATCCGGGTCTCATTGGTCTGATTGGACCCCCAGGTGAACAGGGCGAAAAGGGTGACAGAGGTCTTCCCGGCCCTCCAGGATCGTCCGGTCCCAAAGGAGACAACGTAAGCGACACGGCCCAGAGGGCCCAACGCTATGTTAGCAATCGCCAACCTCTCTGAGCGCTCCCGACAGTCTTTCCCATACTTCGGGAAAGATTTTAGTTCAGCTAAATTAGCAGGCAGCCTCCTTTGGTTTTATCTTGAACTTGTTTGTTCTGTATAATTCAGAGAATTGCCTGGGGATTTACATGTCGTCTTCTCTCCGTTAGGGTATCGCTGGTCCTACAGGTCCCCTCGGTCCAGTTGGACCTCCCGGCTTACCTGTAAGTCTATATTCTTCACATTAGCCTGATAGCAGCCGCTGTCCTTTCTTGGCCGGTATTGATTGCTTGATGTTATTGGTGTCTTTAGGGTCCACCAGGTCCCAAAGGAGCCAAAGGGTCGTCTGTAAGTGATTTACAGAAACCTGAATGTTGTGGAGGTGACAACAAGCCTGTGTAACAAATAATCGGTTTGTTTTTCTTCCTTTCAGGGTCAAACAGGTCCAAAAGGAGAGACAGGAACCCCTGGTCCTCCTGGCCCACCTGTGAGTAATCCAACAGGATCGTTATTCTGTCCCAGTGCTTACCGATACCTTCTTAGCGTCTCAACAGTTTGTGTCTGTCCATCTGTCCCCAACAGGGCCCTCCCGGTGACGTCATCCACCCGCTCCCCATCGTCAATCCCATTAAGGGCAGAACACGTAGGAACATCGACGCCAGCCAGATGGTGGACGATGCCGCCATGGACGCCAACTACAAGGACTACGACGACGGCATGGAGGAGATCTTCGGGTCGCTCAACTCGCTGAAGCTGGAGATCGAGCAGATGAAGCATCCGCTGGGCACGCAGAACAACCCGGCTCGCACCTGCAAGGATCTGCAGCTGTGCCACCCTGATTTCCCCGATGGTTCGTGTGATGTTCCGTTTCATACGCAGGGCCCTTCTGCTCCGCTCTGTTCATATCTCGCTCTCGAATCATCAGTGATGCAGCGACGAAAGAGAAATGTCTATGACAGCAGAGCGCGGGCGAACGGGACGTCGAGTTCCGTTACGGATACCGATGTCTCATGTTTCCATGCGCTCTAAATGCCTCGATGATTTTCTTTTGAGAAAAGAAAAAATCTGACAGAAATTGGAGAAGAAAAAAAGAACACAAACATTGAAACACACAATATATCAGAGTTTTTACTCTTGAGTTGATTTTGGAGAAAACGTAGCAGCCAGAAGCCCTGAACTGAATTACATGATTACCCAGCTCAATATTTACATCTGAATAAATTCTTAATTACCATTGCTGTGTTTACATAAATTTCACTTAAGGCTGATTTGGATAAAAGCTATTATGCAACCAAACTGAATTTAGTTCTTTCTTGCTATTTTTTGTTCAAATCTTTAAAATTCAAACCACTGGATTTCTTAGAAAAAGAAAAATAGCTTTACATTTTCTAGTTACTTTTTTAATTGTATTTTTACGACCTTTTCAATTTTGGCCTTAAGGAAGATAAGTTCTAGATAGTATATTAAAGAGATTTATCCAATTGTCCAACTTATTTAGAGCAGCTTCTGCTTAGAACAAGTGAATCGTGTCCAAAAGCCGTCCTGTCCTTGAGGGAGCCAGTCTGGTTCAGCACAACTGCTTTTTAATGAATGAGTCACTGCCAGGCTTCGGCACAACCTGACGATAAACTGAGAAGAAGGAAAATTCTGCCACTTAAATCGGGTGTAGCAGGGAGACGTCTAAAACATGCAGGACATCTTTTCCTGAAGGCCCCGTGGACGCCGCTAGCTAAGGTGCTCCTTTATTTATTTGCTTAATTAATCTCCAGACAAGACAGTTGCAGCCTAGGATGTTAAGAGAAAATATGTATGCACAATATTTAAGTCCCTTAAACTCCTCTGTTGACAGGAAGGTAAAACACAAACACAGTGTCCTCTGTAATTATCGGATCCCCTGGTATACATGTTCAAAAACAACTGAAAATAAGTTTTCTTTTGCTCAAACATATATAGTATCATGCTGATTTTTTTTAAGGAAAAATCTAACTATTAATTTCTGTTGATTTAGTCAATGGGGAAAATACACCTAAAAATTAAAATGGTGCAATCTGCTGCACTTCTTGCAGTTTATATAATACATATAGAATCACTTTCTAATTAATGCTGGCTTTTTTTTATTATTCACGTGTCTCATAGTCATGAGAAATCATTGTGTTCATCATAATCCTGGGAAAAAAAACATGCATACTTTTGTTGTTCATATAATTTTTCCACAGTTTTTGGAGCGCCGCTAAATTTCAGTGTCTGAAATGAGAAATAAATGCAACTGAGGACTCCTTGAATGCAATATTTGTTAGGATGCTATATATGCCATAATATGTTTTAGCCTGTTGAATGGACGTTTCCTGCCCTCCCTGTCCACAACAGATGTGTATTTGTAGTGGCTGTGACGTGATGAAGGAAAAGTATTCAGTATTCAGTATTCAGTAACAGCTCAACAACTCCATGTTTTCCTGGTATTTTGTAGCTTTAAGTAGAATTACTGTGAGCTCTTTAGCAGCAGAATAGCACTACTCTGTTACTGGGGTGTCAGGTAGCCTTTTTTGCTGATCGAAGATTTTATTTGGAGCGGCGTACGTGTCCGTTGCCGACTTTATGCGGCGACTGATCTGCTGCCAAACTAACATTGGATTTTTTTTTTAAATACTTTTTTTAGTGTCGCCTTTATCGTTTGCTGAATAAATGTCATAAAATTTTAAGTTCGTATTATCTAAGTGTCATAAACTTTTAACTTACAGTCCATTACTTCCCGCTGCCCCGGTTTATAAATAGAACATAGCACAAGACCAGTTTTTCGCTCTTCAAAATATTGCCTAATTTTGCTCACAAAGGTGAATATTAATAATTTTGCTAAATTCCTGACATTTTTGTAAAGCTGTATGTTCACGTCTTTACCATGAACGTCAACAACAGAGGAGACCTTTCAGTCTGGGTCTGATTCCAACATTGACTGTGTTACAAGAATATGAAATGACTGTTCCTTTACCCTGTTGCTTCATCTTAGCCAAACAGATTACAAACACAAAGCTCTCCCGTTGCAGTTTTTTACACTTTCCCCTCTAAATAAGGATTAATTGTGTAACGGATTTGACATTTACAGCTCTGGAAAAAAACGAAGAGCCCACTGCACTGAACCCCATTGAAAACCTCCTGGTTATTCCACCAAGTACTGATTTCTGAACTCTTCCTCAGTTAAAACATTAGTATTGTTTTACTCAAATATATACCTATACAAAGTAAAATCAGAGAAACTAATCATTTTAAGTTGCCTCTTCATTTTTTCCAGAGCTGTATATGTAATTCTAAGACGTCAGGTTGATCTGAATGAGAAAAGGACAGGCATCGACTGCTTTACACCGTTCAACAAATGTCCTGTTTTCTCCTCTGAACGTCTTCCGCTGTGCCTCCTGTCTGCAGGTGAATACTGGATTGATCCAAACCAGGGCTGCTCGCGGGACTCCTTCAAGGTCTACTGCAACTTCACAGCAGGTGGAGAGAGTTGTATCTTCCCGGATAAGAAGTCTGAAGGGGTACGTCTGGCCGCTGCGCGCGCAACGCACATCTACACAAAAGAAAACACGGCACACGCAGAGGTCGGGAAGAAAACTTCCACGTTAGAATCGACAGAGGAGGAAATGTTTGCAAAACTCAGCAGATGAGGAAAATATCGTGCATTTTTTTTATTCCCTCCTCTCTCACACGTGGGACTGACTGCTGTATTCGTGACGCGAACACCTCGAGAGTCGCGACTCGTGTAGTCACGTAATTAGCCTTCGCCGGTTCCCCTGCCGTGGCGGGACAAGGAGATGTGGGAGATGACTCATCAGTTATATTTTACAAACAGCAGACAACATTCTCTCCACCTCACCCAAAAGCTTTTTTTTTTTTTTTAATGTATCCGAGTGCTGCTTTGACAGGGAGCAGAAAGAACTCCGTGGCATATGAAAGCACTGGCAGGTGACAAACACAGCCAGAACACTTTCTGGTTCATTATGCATGAGCGTGCGGAAGAGAGAGGAGCGTGGCGGAGCGGAGGAACACCGTCTCTGACAACTTGAGGGTTGTGTAATAGCACAAGTGCTACAGCCGTTTTAATGATCCCACTCATCAAGCCTCAGAGGGGCGGTGGGAGGGGTAAGGGGGGTTTGCTTAAACCCCGAATAATGAAGCGGACTTTTTATAGCCTCGCCCGGCAATGGGGCCGCTCTCTCGTTTGTGTCTGAGGCGGAGAGAATAGCCCCCGCTGTCAGTCTTGGCATTGATGCCAAAAAAAACTCTCCCACATATTATCATCAGAGCGCTAACCCACACCGTCCAGATGGAGCACAAGAAAAAAAAAAGAAAAAAAAAAGCAACACTAGAGATGCTGAGAGGGAGGAAGTTGAAACTTTGCTCTGAAAACGAGCGAAGGTTGCCCTTCAAGGCAGCGGGGGTTTAATGTATGTCGTCTTCCAGCGACAGGTGATTCTTCATCGACGCGTTAGGCGACCGCTGACAGTTTCATATCAAACCTTGCTCGCTAATTATAGAGGAATTCATCACTGTCACGGCTGAGGCCGTTACGAGTCGCGCCGTGGATTTCGCTGGCAGAACGACGTTAGTGCCCATCTGTAAAACCTGAGCCGGAGAGATCAGCATCTGGCTAAAAGTGTTCGCACGTCCGTCGAACTTTTCCACATTTTGTCTCGTTCCAACCGCAAGCGTCGGCGTATTTCATCAGGATTGTGTGTGACAGAATGGCCAAGTTGCACATAGTTGAGAAATTTTTACCAGAAAAGTTTAAGTGTTGCTTGGCAGCTGTTCTGCCAAGGTTTGTTTGAGAGTATTAGTGGATAAACCAAGGAGCACACAAAGTAGGTCAGGGATAAAGTTGTGGCTGCTAAAGGAGATCACCCTTAAATGTAAAGTAAAGGTGGCCGATATGGACGTTAAGCTTTATCACGCTATTTTGTTGTATTATGGCGACAACTAAGTATCAATAAGAACTACTTATTACATATTTTTAGGCTAGTCTATGGCTGTGACTGCAAACATTGCTCTGGAACATTTGTAATACGCTACTTTAGTTCACCAGTCACATGACGGCATGTGATATGTGTCACTAAAATGCACACAGCAACTGAATAATTATGTTTTCATATATATTGACACTCTCACTGAGCAAACAGTGGAGAAACCATTACAACTAACAAACACTGACAATGTTGGAGAATTTATCGTGGCATCGATGCATGAAAAGTCTTATAAGGATAAGAGGCGCATCGCGATAAGTGATTAACGATAAATGACCTGATAAATTCCAAAACCCATGGTAAAGTTGAAAAGGAAACGGTAAATATTTTTTGCTGGAGTTCACTGATAGCGCACTGAGCACATACACAGTGAAACATGGTAGTGGCAGCACATGCTGTGGGGATTTTCTTTTTTCAGCAGGGATAGAGAAAACTGGTCTGAGATGATGGGAGAATGAATGGAGCTAAAGAAAACGCAATGCTGGCAGGAAGAGCAGATTGGAGGTTTGCCTTCCAGGAGGGGCCCTAAAATTACAGCCAGAGTAACAAGAGAATGGTTTAGAGCAAAATATATTAGAATGGCCCAGTCAAAGTCCTGACCTAAATCCAGTTGAGAACCTGTGGCTTCCTGTTCATTTTGTATTTGAGCTTGAGGCATTTCCAAAAAAGGGAATAGTTTACCGTAAGGTTGTTCTCCATGGTTCTTGCAGCAGCGGGCTAAAAATTACTTGATCTTTTTATAAAAAAATCAAGTGGTTTGAACACTTTAACAAATCACTGCTGTAACATCAGAGAACCACACAGACTGCCTAGCAGAAACATAAACATTAATGTAAAAAAAAAAAAAAGAAAGAAAGAAAAACTCCATGCAGGCAGGCGATCATTTAATATCACTGTGTACTTATGAATATTTCAGCAGCAATTAGCCGCCAGCTGCAGTTCATACCGTAGCGGTGGGTAGAAACTCTCCAGTCCAGCAAGGCTACTTGATCTCACTGAGCCGCGTTTCAGATCTGTAGGATTCATCACTGGAGAACAAAAGGAGAAAGAAGAAAAGCTGAAAACCTCGGGGGGTGGGAGGGAGCTGAGATTTCTGTCAAATCTGTTTCCTCTCTTTAACACCTTTCTTCCCCACCCCTCCTCTGCCTTCTTTTGTTGATCCGTGCCCCCAGGCAAGGCTCACATCCTGGGTAAAGGAGACTGCCGGTTCCTGGTTCAGTGAATTCAAACGTGGTAAACTGGTAAGCCTGACTCTTAAGTCCCTTTCCCTCCCCTGAACACTTCTTATATTTTACAGAGCAAAATGGCAAAATGGCCCAAAGACTCGCCAGGCACTTGGTATAGTCACTACAAGAGAGGTTCGCTGGTAAGTGGCTCTGCCTGCGGTTCCCGGAGTCCCCGGCCGAGGCCCGGGCTCTGCATGGTTCTGGTTCTGGTTCTGCACTATGAAGTATGTATTAAGCCTGGCACTATGCTTGTAGGTTGTTCATTTATGATGCATGACTTCGACATGAGCTGCATTCTTCTTCAGTCCAGGAACAATGTAGAAGGGATGCTGTCAGAAAGAAATGGAGGAGAGGTTGGTGGAAGGATGATGATTATCACTTTAGGTCAGTGGTGCTCTGGGGTCCAAAACAACCCATGACAAAGTATCATTGGTTCCACTGGCAGATTATTCCACTTTTTCATCAATATTAATGAATTATTGACTTAAACAAGGTCCTATATCTTGCTGATAAGTAACACGTAAGTTACTTAATTCAAGTGTGCTAAGGTATTTGCACTAGAAAGTGAGCAACAATGCTTGTTAAGACTGTGTTTATAACATGTTAAAACTACTGGACCACAGTTTCCATTAAGTTAAAAATGCAAAAATGAGATTACTGGGGGTATCTCCCTTTCTGTCTTTTTTTTTATTTATTTATTTTTACCTGCTCAACAAAAAATAAATATTTTATAAAATCTGTATAGATCCAAAACATAAATAGGGCTTCAGACTGTTAACTTATTAAGAGACATCAGTTGTTTTCTGTTCTGTGGGCCAGATTTTTCACCATTTTTCACTTGTGATCAGGGACCAAACCAAATCATTCCAAGTTCCACAAATGGCCCCCGGACCACACTTTGGACACCACTGTTAAATTAGATGCAAAATTGTATTTTACAAAAAAAAAAAAAACTTCCTGCTCTATCCACTCCATGATACCTCTACTCCATATAAGCAGCATCTCTAAGTGACTCAGTGCCATGACGCTATGACCATGAAACGCAAGTTCATCACTTTAGGCTTCTCTCTTAAAAGAAAAAGCAAACAAGCAGAGCATATATACTCCCATCCTGCGATCCCTTTGTGCTGCTGCTGCTGCTATGCAGCTGATCACACACTCCCAGTGTGTGTTAGCGTGGATCCGGGTCAATGCGGTCAGGGCACTCAGTCACCACTCAGAAGCTTCTGGCTCCTCAGTCTGTTGACTTGTGATGATCAAGAGGTAACGTTTCTCCTGAGATGTGTGGCTGCATGCACAGTGTACGGGACAGAGAGTGAGGAGGGATGTGAATGAAAAGAAAAAAAAAGAAAGAAGAAGAGCTGACTGGTAAGCCACTCCTGAACATGAGCCTAAGAGCCTGTGCTCTTATGAAACGACATCTCCTGAATGATTGGACAGTTAATCTATGACTCTGCGCCGAGTCGCAGCACAAATGCATCAAAACGACAAACATCTTCCCCTGGTTCCTACTCTGAAAAAGATATGGAAAGTATGGATGTCCAGATTCTTTTCCTTGATCATAATCTTTAGTAACCCAGCTATCTTATTTTATTTTTTTTCAATCTGCCTTAAACACAATGTGAGGTAATTCATTTATACTTAACGGGACAGTATTATGTATTTTCCAACCTCATAGTATCATTTTATAGCTCACTCAAGTAACTATGTTGCCTTTAGTTGTTGTACATATCAAATAAGACATGAAATAAATTTGACATTGTAATTTAACAATTTGGAAATTGGGCCCATTTCTCTTGAGAAAGTCAGGAAGTCATCACAACATGGCTCCTCTATTTAGCAAAGTTTTCACCAGCATCACTCTGAGACGCAGCTCGTATAACGAGCTCGGAGGATGTGCAGTCCATCTGATATTTGCCAATTGCTGCTGGCTAGTCTGTAGGAGCTGAGTGGAAGAGCTGTTGCTCTGTGAGGTGGAAGCTCAGAAGCTTGGAAAATCCAAGGAGGAGCTTTGTCCTCGAAGGTGGCGCTAGCCGCACCCAGGCGTTTTACTCAGCTCAGCGGTTGCCACGGGAGATTAAAAGATTTCTCAAACATGCATGAAGGAATCAACACTTCAGCTATGTTTTTGAGCTATGGAACAAAGTCAAAGTGTGTTGTAAGGCTCAATAAAGTTGATTTTACATGTAATACTGCCCCTTTAAGGAAAAACACCAAAAAAAGAGAAAAAAAAAACACTGCAAACTCCTTAAATAAGTCTGGAAAAGTACAGGAAAGGCATCAGGCACCCCTCACTCTTTATTACCGTTCATTGTGAATGTCAGCCCTGCGGGGTATCTCGTGTGCATGCGCATGCAAGCTTCGACTCACCACGTGCCAAAGCCAGTCGAGGAGGGGAAAACACCGAGGCACCAGATGGTTTGCTGCTCCGGCTGCATGGCACACGTTCAGCATGCACTCTACACTCAGTAAGTCCTGTTTGTCTGCAAGGCGAAGTGGATCTAATGGATTCCTGATGGTTGGTATGCAGATTGTCGTTTAAGAGCATTAAAATAAACTGGATCAACTAGGATTGGTTCCAGATGTATCTAATCAGTTTGGATTATGAAGCCCTATAATCATCTTAATGGGATGTAACTCAGTTTTGTGCAATGTGAGCATGAAAGTGGGGAGGTGGGGGGCAGCAGGGGAGGATTCTGGGGTAATTATGAGGCAATTAGCATGTCATTACTACCTTATATCTCCTATTTTGAGAATTACACTTGTGTGGGTTTGAGATTCTGCACACACGTGCATCTAGCATCTAAACAAGCTGCTCTGCCTTTCATTCCAAGGATTTTCCATATTCATTTTTTAACATTTTTGTAGCCTGGAGGCATCAGTGCTCCATTTGTAAACACATAGATTACATAAAATACATTTATGCCTTTAAGGAATCAGGCCCTGCAACAGACTGGCAACCTGTCCAGGGTGTACCCACCCTGCCTCTTGTCCGGAACGTTAGCTGGAGATTGGCACCAGCAACCCTCCCGACCCCACTAAGGGACAAGGGTGTAAAGAAAATGGATGGATGGAATCAGGCAGTTATTTTACAATATTCTCCACTTCCATAAATGATTCATAAATATTTATTTAAAAAAAGACCCAAACTGGCTTTGAGTTTGCACACTAGTTTTAGAAATCTCAGAAGATTGTGTCTCTTACAGTGTTTATGTGTAGCGCATTGATATTAGTAACTCATTTGAATATTGACAGTAAAAGAAATAAATATGCTCACGTCGGTCTGGATTGATGTGTTATACAGATTTATGTAGTTTTTATATACCTGCTTTAGATTGTTGTATATTCTGGTAATTCATAGGAGCTGTACACCATGGTGGTAGTACTGCATCTTAAATCTGGGTCTATAAATTGATCATTTTCCAGAAATCCCCCCACACAATCGCCTCAACAAATAAATAAATAAATAAATAAATCTTGAAATAGTTTCACTGAAATTTGTGCACAAAATTAAATGCAGTTTGAGTTTGTAACACCGCGTTATGCAATAACTGCAATTTGGAATAATGTAGTAAAATCAGGCTTTAAAATGTACTAAGGCATTATTAAACCAGCATTATGTAATAGTTGAGTAAAATCTTGAACTCATTTTTAATGAACAACATGCAGGTTAATACCGAGGGCATGAGGCCAGAAAGGCAACTAAATGACCAAAAGTTATTTGTTATCCAAAGTGTCAGCTTCAGTGTGCACATAAAGAACAGTTTGTGATCGTTTTACAACATTATGTGTCACATTATTAGATTATTTAAAAAGAAAAAGAGCTACCTCCGCATAACGTAATAATCAGCGCAATGTGCAATGTTATGACATAATGTGAGAAAAAGTATTGCAAAATGCGCTGAATGATTTTATTATGTAATGCGGTTGCAGTGATGTTTTATAACATTTTGAAGCCCGATTTCAGTACATTGTTACTCATTGCGGCGTTGCAGGGTTTGATAACATTTGTAGATGTCTGCTGGAAATCAGTTCCTGCATCCCTCATTTACCTTCTTCCCGGTGTAAAAGCTGGAAAGCTAGATTTCATTTTTAAAATATGTTTGGGTTTTTTTTTTGTCTCTGTAGCTGTCCTACGTGGACGCCGAGGGCAACCCCATTGGCGTCGTCCAGATGACCTTCCTGCGGCTCCTGAGCGCGGCGGCCCGGCAGAACATGACGTACAACTGCTACCACTCGGTGGCGTGGCACGACCAGGAGCAGGACAACTACGACAAGGCCATCCGCTTCCTGGGATCCAACGATGAGGAGATGTCGTACGACAACAACCCCTACATCCGCGCCGTGGTCGATGGCTGCGCGGTAGGTTAACGAAAAGCCACCCGGTCCTCGTCGTCGTTTGAAGAGGCGCGGTCTGTTGGATTTCTGAAATTAATTCCGTCTCCTGCTGCGTCTCTCTCTCTCTCTCTCTCTCTCTCTCTCTCTCTCTCGACAGCTGAAAAAGAGCTACGAAAAGACAGTACTCGAGATCAACACTCCGAAGGTGGAGCAGGTGCCTTTTGTGGACATCATGTTCAACGATTTCGGCGGCTCTACGCAGAAGTTCGGATTCGAAGTGGGGCCCGTGTGCTTCATCGGCTGAGACCTTTTACCGAGCAAATGGAGGAAGAAGAAAGAAAAAAAAAAGAAAAACCTACTTTTGTTTTCTCAGAAAGAAAAAAAAAAGACAAACAATTGAAAAATAATAGGACAATGCTATTTGTATAAAAAAAAGAAAAACTGTTTCCACAAAGCGACACGAGTCAAACATAATTACGTCAGGAATACAGCGAAAATCTAAAGGAATAGAGAAAAATAACCTTGAAACCTCAGTGTGCCTTCTTTTATCACATGCAAGTTTTGAAACTGAAGTTTGCGTCCTTCCTCCCACACACACACACACACACACAAAGCCTCCCCTGCCCGAGTCCAGTCCCCCCCACTCCATCGCATTTGATTTCGATTCTTTTGGTCTGAAACAACGAAGGCGACCCTGAGAGCTGCAGCCGTTCCAGACGGTCGCAGCGTTGCCCACGGACACCATCCCATTCGGCTCTGTTTTGATCTCATGCCCCAAACGCCCCACCCCCCACACCTCCTCCACCCTTTATCCTCCCTGCCTTTTGCCACCTTCTCTGTTCTTGGTTTAGTTTTCTTGTTTGTGCATAATTGTCTCCCCATTCTCTTTGGAATGGACCTTATATATTTATATACATATAAATATATATAAGTGATTGTTTTCCCCTTTTTTTATGTTTGTAAGTACATTCTGTATATTTTTTTTTCTCCTGGTAATGTTTATTGCTTCTGGCTTCAAAACATGCATGTGACTGTACTAATTGTGAGGTAGACGAACGAGAAAACATCTAAAATCGTACAAACGCATCCAAAACGAGGATAGAAGAGAAAAAAGAAAAAACAAACGCAATTGGAAGTTCTGTCTTTGTAGAGCACACTTTATTTTTTATTTTATTTTATTACTTTTTTTTTTGTAATTTAAGAACAGATTGGAAATAAAAGACTAAAAAACATGCTCTGTGATATAAAGTACAAGACATTCCCTCATTTTGTACCCAAGCCCCACTCTGGTGGAAATGTAATTAAGTTAATAAACTGCTTCTGTACTTTTTTGCTGAAATATTCATCTTACTGTGCAGTGGAAGGTAATGAACGGAAAAAAAAAAAAAAAAAAAAAAAAATAAAAACCTAGGTGCTATTTTCTCTCCTCTGTGGTGCTATGTATGTTTTTCAAGTTTGTGTTTGAAAAAAAAAAATATCTAAGAGAAAAAAACTTGTGGAGATAACAGCCCACGTTGCTCGACAGCGCCCCCTCCCTGTACGCCGAATCGATTCACGACACGGATCTCTGCTGCAGCCGCTTCCCTCTGTTAAGGTTCCCGCGTGCCGTTTCCCTGTGTCGCCGCCTCCTCATTGGACCGCACATAGCAGAAATGGCCTGTGCCAAATGTTTGGAAAGACGAGAGGAAAAGAACACCCCCACTGCCCCCGAAACACACACACGCCCTCTTTCTCATTTTGGTTTTACGTACGGATCACCTGCTCTGAATCGGGCTGGTAGAGTTGGCAAAATGGACATGTTGTAACGGGTCAAAAAAGGGATTTTTTGCACCCTATCCAAAGGATTTTCGCTTAAATATTTAGCTTTACGTGACTTGGAGTCATGTTCGTACGAGAAACAACTTGAAAAGTCACCAAATTAGTCTTTTTAGTTTGATTTTTGTTTTTGGTTTTTTGGGGGTTTTTTTTTAAATATTGCTCATGCAGTGTTGGTTTTCTTCATGTCTTAATGCTTTTTTGTTTTGTTCAAACTATGCACTCTCTATGCTTATGACCACTAGTATCTACCACAGAATTTTTACAGCTCTTTATACATAGGCTTGTTTTATTTCCTTTTTTTTTCAAAAAATAAAAAAAAAAGAAAAAGAAAAAAAAAATCTTTACGTGACTTGAACCCTTGGTGTTTAGGATAACTCCATGCGCTTGTAGATCTTCGGCTCTGATCTTCACGGTGTTGCAGCACACCCAACATTTATCGCTTTTGCTCTCGCAAAAGAACCGGACGAAAAGATAGGGGGGAAGAGAAATAAATAAACAAACAATAACAATAATACAAATTTTATTTTGTAAATTTCCAGAACCAGCATCGATGCTGTCGTTGCTATGTTTTATTTTGTAGATTTCCATTTGTAATGTTTGTTATGGTCTTTTTTTTTTTTTTTTTTTTTTTTTTTTTTTTTTTTTTCAGTTTTTTCAAAAAAAAAAAAAAAAAAAAAAAAAAAAAAAAACAAT